AGAAGGGATCAAGTGTGGGGATACCACATAGGATCAGTAAGGAGTGAGTTGAGGAGTGAAGGTTGAAGTATTGAATTGAGTTGCAAGCATGAGTGAGAACTATCTAGAGGTGGGAAGAAGGGGGTTCATATACCTAGATGGGTGGCAAGCTGACAAATGGGAGCTGACAAATGAGTGCTGACAAATGGGAGTTGACAAATGGGAGCTGACAAATGGGAGCTGACAAATGGGAGCTGACAAATGGGTGCTGACAAATGGGTGCTGACAAATGGGTGCTGACAAATAGGAGCTAACACAAGTATAAAGACTGGTAGGGTTGTTGTTGGCTGCAAGCCATGTCAGGATGACACACACGCCAACAAAGATATCCACTTGTGATTGCCATCTTGAAGCTGTTGTCTGAACTGCTTCTTCTTAAGGAGCCACTTAGAAAAGATTCTCTTCTATCTTCCAACCGCTCCAATCATGAAGCCTTTCTCATCCATATTGTATGTGTGCTGTGCCTCAATGTCATAGTATTTCATCTTTTCATCTAGCAACTCAAAGTAATGTGTATACTTGTCAGCAGAGTCAGCAGCGTGGTGATTGCGGTCCATTGAAGTTGTCCATTGAGGTGTGAGCCTCTCATTGTTGCAGTGGATAAAGCGGTCAGCCCAGCTTTCCAAGACAGGCTCTTGAGCAATATTGCTTGCAAATTCTTGAACCATCTTGCATGTAGGTGGAAGATGATCCTCTGTAAGCTTGTCAATATACTGCACAAGCTCTGCTTCTTGCTGTGGTTGAAGTTTGCAATGTGTTATTGCATCCTCTTGTTGCGACAGTGTTTCGAGCTACACCTTGCGCATCAAAGTTGAGCGCACAACACCATACTTTTTTGCTATCTTTGTCCATGGGATTTTGTTGCTTTGAGGTATGTTTTTAACTTCATCAACTGCTTCTTTGATACCTGTCATGGTCATTGAGCTATGGTGTTGAGAAAAAGTGCTGCATATTGTGTTTGCGCGCGTTGGGTGACGGCGCGCGTTGGGTGCACGTGCACGGTACGTCACCAAGCGACCTTTAAACTTCTACACTGCATCTTTCTCCTGCAACATCGCAGAGACGACACCGCAAGATGGTCGGAAGCATCGATTTCCATCTCGCACATCATCGTAGGACGCATCCCTAGGGTGCTGTTAGCTTCTCTGCCGCTGTGCTGGCTGCTGGGCCATATTTGAGGTGTTTGACGTGCGATCTGGCTGGGCGAGTTGCGCGCTGAAGCTTGCTCGCAGCTGCGGCGCACTCTGTAGCCATCAAAGAACGACATAACGCAGTAGTGATCAGACGCGAAGGTTTTTATGAACATAGTAGGGAGTTCGGTTTCGTTGAAGACTGTCATTTATCATCATTGTTTATTGTACATTGGTATCAAGTGCGTGCGTTTCCAGCACCTCTTTCTCACGGTCTTTGTTGTCTCTCCTTTAGGACCCGTCTCTCTTTCAAGGTCTTTTGTTGGGCTTCGAACTTCTCGTACAATACAGTGCGCTCCTGCCTCTGCTGCAGATCTTGCCTCACGCTCGGCCCCCGTTGCTCACAAGCGTCTGCTGCTTGTCCGTGCTCTGCGCGCTCAGCTTTGTACATCTCAAATAGGCTATCGTACTCTGGGTCCCCGTTAATTTTCTGCGTATTCATGCTCGAAGTTTCCATGTTCTCCTTGCCTGCGGAGTCATCGTGCAGCATAGGGAAGTAAGACTTCAGGACGGCGGGATCTGTGCGCAACTTCTTCGATTTCTGCTCTCTTTTTGCAACTTTGTTTCTTTGCATGGCGACTTGTACGGTTGATTGGCTTTCGCGCATTGCTGACGGGCTTTGCGTAACAATGGTATCATCTAACACCGTTGCTACTTGTCCCCTCATGAGATTGGCTGGGAAACGCGCACGCTCTTCCGGTAGTGTTGTCACCTCTTGTGTTTCCATGAAAGATCGGATCATATTGGCTTCATCGCTGTTGTAACGCGTGCGAGTCTCTGGTGGAGTATGGCCCAGGCGGGAGTCGTTCGCTTCTTCGCCGTATATCCTGTGCCGAGGCGCGTCCTTCTCGCTCAACAGGCGCAATGCGGTCGTGAGTTCTTTGACGAAGCGCGGGTCGTAGGAGAAGCCGCATCTTGCCGGTGAGTAGGCCCCACTCAGTCCATAGCGACGCTGAGCCGCAAAGGATGCATCGATGTCAAGATCTTGAGCGGCGGGACTTGCTGACGAACATGGTGGGTGCATGGTTGTGGTGTTGCAGAGGAGCAACAGCAGTAAACAAACTGAAATCGTGGGCAAGCACGCTACGCGGCAAGCACGGCTAGTGTCAAAACGTTCAGGTCGCATACGCTAGTTACTTCACTGTCACCGCAAGCTCAAAGTCGCACACACGAACAGCTATCGGCTTACTTAGCCCCCGCTGCGCTTTCTCCCTCAACTCTTCTCGCAAACCTGTCTGTATCTGCTTGCGCCCCTGGCAATATTGTCAACGGATCGCGCCGCGGTCCTCGGCCATGCGCCTTCATTAAACGTATTTTGCAATCGCAAGTACCAAAGATTTTTCAGCTTTCGTTCGCGGTATAACTCTAAGCGGAACGACTAACGGTGCGCCACAACATTGCTTTCACATGAGGTAGAGCTGACATTGATAGCGTTCAAGAAGGCGAGGCAACATCGATTGGCCTGAAGATCGATCAATCCACGTGGCGACGCCGCCGGTCGTTCTGCGTCACTATCATAGTAGGTTCAGGCCCTTTTTATTTCTGATTGTCCCCTCTGACCACCATTCACTAGCATCATGAAACCCTTCGCCGTGTTCACACCTCGATACTCTCGGGCTCGATTATCCCTTTCCAACAGCCACGTGCAAGCCCTCTCAGATCTTGCCAAATATGAGCGCTACAGTGATCACTGCTCTAACGAGCGTACTGAAAATGACCATGAAGTCGCCGTTGTCGAGGCGCAGCTCAACAACGCGTTTACATCCGCCACACGGCAAAGTTTGGTTTCTATCTCGAACATGCTCCTATGACTAATTGCTGGAACGCAGGATGTGGTCGGCCTGATAATAGTGGTAAACTTCTTTCTCGTGGGATGGAATATTCGAGGGTGCTACTTGATGTTCCAACTATTGCGCGGGCGACCACCGTGGTTACCTCACCATCAGGCCGGTCAGCACTGACGTGGAGGATATTACAGTCAATGGCAGTCCGCTTAGCGATGCGAAAGTCTTGGACGGGCCTGCTGAGATTTGCATTGGCCGTATGACCTTCGGATTCGACTACACGGACTTCCACTTCTCAGAGGAATTCTGGGACAACCCCCCCCCCCCCCACCCCATCGAGCAGAGCTAAGATTGAGACTTACACCCGCGATATGCTCTCCGGTACAGCCTTCTTTCACGCCATGTGCTACATTCACGGCGGTCTGTGCCCCGCCAAGGTTGGCATCCAAACAGGTCACGCAGTCCTGCTTTACATCGACTTCTGTGTCGAAGACCCCGTGAAGGGAAAGTGCCTAGACCCTGACGAAGGAGGTACGGAGCCGGCTATGTCCACTGCTCCGAAGCGGAAGTGGTTATGATAAGATTATTCTGCGAATATTTGGTCTATTGAAGTCATGGCCTATCATATCTGGCACGGATCGCACCCTTAGCCAATGACTCATAACGTCTGGCAGCGTGATCCCAGCCTCAGGCTGCTGCAATCAGAATTCTTCTGCGACATGAAAGAATACGTTATGGCACGACTCACTGATGAGCAAGATGATCTCTGCAAATTGATAGCTTCGATGTTACGTATCCGTGGGTGGAAAATGTCCTGCGGACCGTCTATTGTACATGCCTTGAGAGAGCGATCGAACAATCATACACAAAAGATACCAGTGAGCTGCAGTCTACCGGACTTACATCGTCATAGTCGCCACTCTGCTTACCAATGTGTCTGCAGTTGTTGACCAGTACGAGACTCACAGGCCTCTGCTCTTGAACTGAAATCTCTAATCAGCTTGTCGCACTCCAAATGTCCCAGCAGGAGTGCTGTACCACTGGAAATAGCGACTGCAAAAAACACACTCTTTTTCTCTTTATAGATTCATGGCATCGTTATGGAGAGCGTACGCGCTTTGATCTTGAACTACGCTCTAACGAGACGGAGGTCGCATAGTAGTATTCTGAGCGCATTTCCTATAGCTGCACTTCAGTGCGCCGTGGTACCAGTCTTCAGTCCATTGGTTGTTCACTGTCTACTGATATCGGTCAAGATCTTCAAAATATTGATGAGTGCTGAACCTTTGTGTTCGGCCGATTTCTGGGCGGACATGTCCCTTCACTTCAGCTAGAGTCTTCCGACCCTGCACGGACCGCGATCCCAACTCCTGTCTTCACTTGCCCTTGCCGCCGCCAAGCTCGGCACACAGAGCCTTCTACAATTTTGCGCTGATCTCTACCGCTCACCTCTTTTCCTACCTGTTGCGGTATCAATCGGTCCGTACAAGGTCTGACTATGCCCGTAGCAGATTACTCTAGTCTGGTGTGTTACAAGTCAGGTATATAATCGTCTTCTCTTGGCTAGATATCAACTCAGCGTAGTATTCCGTCATATCCTACCAGCGGCCTCTTGCCGCAACACTACCTCCTATCCAAAAACTCCGGTCGTTCAGCCTGCGATGCCTCCAAGGGTACGATCTAGTATTGAAGTCACTTTCGTGACATTGAACTGACAGCGACGTAGAGTGACAAGGCATTCTGGCGCTTTGCAAGAACCGAAATCAAGCCTACCAGCCGTCTAGATGGGTCTGAACCATCGCCAAAGCGCCCCAGAACAGATGGCATATCTTCGATGCGTCAAAGCTGCGTTCTTGATGGCAAGGATGCTTCTGAAGCATCCACATCGCATGCAAAGCGTATAAAGCTTCAAGTAAACCTCCGGAAATCTATCCAGATCGACGATACTGATACATCCGATGATGAGCCGCTGATGAATCTCATCGCTGCAAGGTCTGGACGCTCCAAAGAAGGTGAACGAACGATCGTCGCGTCAGGAGATCAACACAACACTGGGGTGGGAAATGCTTCTCATCTTGCTCAAGGTTCTCATGGCTCAGACGACGAACCGCTCATCGACCGCGTCAAGGCGAGATCTCACAAGCAGCCAGAGACCGATACAAAAATGTACCCGGGCGCTGCACCAAGAGCAGATGGCGATGTCGAGAAATCCCCTGACGTACCCGCAGCGCCATCATGCCTGTCGCCCTCCTACAATGCGATATATCATACATCACGCGACGACAAAACCCTCTTCACTGGCGCCGACACACCAGAAGACCTTTCAAGCACCACACTCATGCTTCAGAACTCCGTTTACGGCGAAAAAGCTAGCCTAACGCCGGCCTTCGAATCCGTCAGCTCCGCCCCATCCAACCCATATGCAGGTAGCTTCGAAGGCTTTAGGAGAGTGCCGAGCCCGGACCGATTGTTCACAAACATGCGGTTGCAGGATGTGAACAAGCTGATCTTGGCTATGGGGCGAGCTGATAGGAAGAGGGGTGCTGCGAAAAGGTCAGCACAGAAGAACAAGGCTGAGAAAGGCAAAGGGAAAGTGGGTGGGAAGGGGAAGGACGAGAAAAAGGTTGAGCTGTTGTTGAATGCTGATGCGGCAGAAGATATGCCGATGGCTGATGGTTGCCCTGATGAGGTTGGTGTGGAAGCGCCAGAGAATGTCGAAATGGATGACTCTGATGGTTTCAACGGGACAGGCGTTCATGCTGGTGGTGACGCGGATGAGGAACGTGTCGACAGTGACGATACGATGGGGGGTGACAAGGACGATGAGTGTGCTGCATCTCCTGCTGCGGCGAAGAAGCTGAGGATGGTGGAGGTAGTCAGTCGTCTCCCCGCCGCGAAACCACCATGAGCGAGTTAACGAACGAGTAGCCCGACTTTGAGCCAAGAGCGAGCGCTCTTAACGAAGCCATCACTAAAGCCTCGAAGGCCTCAGCAAAGCGAGAGACTTGCATCCGTCGCGCAGCGCGTTCCACCCCTGCCACCGAGATCACCAACCTCACTGAAGACGAGCCCACAGAACTGCCACCAACCATTCCTCACACTATCACAAAGAGCGCCGTCTCCCTCGCAGACCAACTCTTCCTCGAGCCGCCTTCTCCGCTCCCACCTTCAGAATGTCCCAAAGGGGCCGTCAAGCGTGAAGCTGACTTCCTGAAAGGCTTCAACACCCATTGGTGGGCAGGCGGGCTCTCCCATCGCGCCGCAATCCAGTCTGTTAACGCTGCCCTCCGCTCTAGCATCCCGCGCTTCAGCGAGGAGGAAGGTAGATTTTGTCTCCGCTCGCTGTTTGCGCAGAACAAGCTGGCCATCCGCCATGATCTGGTCTACCATCAGGACTGTGATCCGGGTGCAAACGCTCCTCCACCAACACCGCTGAAGGAGAGACAGTACATCAGTCCGTCGCAGCAGCTCGCACGTGACTTGAGGAGGGTGGAGATGCAGCCTTATCGTTCGTCGTTCGGGAAGATCTCGGAGGCGAGGTATAGGGTCCTGGAGATGAGGCTGGAAAGTGCTGTGAGGATGGAGAGGACAGTTTTCCAGGACGGGGATGAGACGATGAAGGGGTGCGCGAGAGCAGTGAACGAGTGGATGTCGGAGGGGATGAAGTTTAGTGAGAAGGAGGTGAGGGCGGCGCTCGAGTATTTGGTAAGGCAGGGGAAGGTTGAGATTGAGGGAGATGTTGTAAGGTTGGTGTCTTGGGAGTAGTGTAGAGTTTTGGACTTGATCGAAAAGAGGGCCCAAGGATGTGTCAAAGATTTCGAGGAGGGAAAGGGAAGTTGCGCAATGAGGAAGCGTGGACATCGAGAGACGGAAAAAGGTGCACATTCTTGACCCTAGAATAGAAGGCTACCATTTCTAGAGGTCAGGATTAGCAATAACAAAATTGATTCAATCAGTGCAGTATCCTAAAAGCAGCGTCGTACACCAGTGCTCCTACTGGAATCTCCCTTCACAGCCGCTGCACACATCCCTGGCTCTTCAACTCAGCTGTCACATATGCCCTGGGAGGAGGATAGCTTTCAAGTCTCAGTTGCTGATTGGATAATTATGAGAGATTTGAGCTTTCAAGATGTTACAAGCCCATCAACCCAAGGTCTGTTAACCTAGAATCGAGCTGAGCTGTTACACGCCTTACCTAATTTGTCAAATACACTCTCCTCATACATCAGAAAGCAGTGCAAGGATTGGAAGGCTGAGGTTCGTCAGCTTATCCAATTGGCTGCTGGAGAGATTGCTGTAAGCGTTGATGTTTGGACATCCACCAATTATCTTAGCTTCTTGGGTGTAATTGCTCACTTTGTTGATGCTGACTACAACCAACAGGACCTCCTGATAGGTTTCCGCAACTTCCTTGGTGATCCACACAGCTAGTGTACAGGCCTCAGTAATACTTGACGTTATGCAAGAGTACAACTTTGAGTCAAACTTAAATTGTTTTGTAAGCAACAATGCTACAAACAACAACAGGAAACTCATCAAGCACCTCATCATGGAGTCTACAACTCTCTGCCTTGGTGCCCAGCATCAAATCCGCTGCGCAGGTCACATTATCGATCTTATTGTCAAAGCAACGTTATATGGTGAAGGCGTCTCAAAGTTTGAAGAACAGCCTGCCCAGGCAGCCCCTATTGATCAATTCAGACTGTACCGCCACCACGGCATTGTTGGCAAGCTTCACAACTTTGTAAGAGCTGTTTGTGCCTCACACAAACAAAGTGAGTTGTTTCATTCAGTCTTCAGCAGTCTTAGTGATGAGGACCCTACATGGAAGCTTGTTAAGCTTCAATTACTTCAGGATGACGGGGTACGCTGGCACTCAGTCTACCTCATGCTTCTCCGTTGCAGTGAGCTACGTGAGCCAATCAAAGCCTTCCAACGCAAATATCGACAAACCATCAAGAACAACAAGGAGTTTGATGCCAATGATGATAGTGATGGTTCTCACTACAACCCTATACTTGACGCTCTCTCCGATGACGATTGGCTAGAGGTTGATGATCTTATGTAACTGCATGAGCAGTGTCGGTCGGAGGCTGTGGTCAATGATTGAATCACTATCTGTGTTGTCCGATGGTCTTGGTGTACAGGAGCTCTCGGCTCAAAGGTAAGTGCACTTGCCTTCCGGCAGTGCCTTCCTCAATAGAACATCATGTGACTTAAGCCACGTAGTTACATCTTATCACCTTTTTGAAGGTGCTGTACGACCTCTGTAAAGCACTTGAAGACAGCAACAGCGTGCCAGGTTTCAGCTCATTATGGCAAGCTATCATCAGTCTTCAAGCCTTGTGGCAGCACTACAACACTGATGCTAGTGAGTTTGACAATAACGATGAAAGCTACTTCAAATCAGCTGTCAAATATGGCCTAGAAAAGCTCAACACCTACTGGGAGAAGTTAGTAATAGAGCCAACTCCAAGCTTCTATACTATTTCCACAGCTCTCCATCCCAGGTTACGTCTCAATTGGTTCAAATCTCACTGGCGTGATTACCGAGATTGGCAGCGGAAGGCTGATAATTCTTTCCGCACTATATTTAAGGAGTATCTTATTGCTGAAGCGATATCAGATGAAACGAAAAATGAGGAGCAACCTCGAAGACGCAAGCTACCTGCTAGCTTCACCAACAATCCGCTTGCATCTATGATGGAGGTTGATCACGAGTACCTTCACGGCATCCACGACCACAAACGGCACAAACGCAGTCCTCAATTGGACGAGTATACTGACAATCTCAATGAGGACCTAAACAAAGACGAAGCCTATCATGAGTTGATGGCTGACCCATGGCTTTGATGACTGAAAGTTGGCTGCAGCAAGTACCCCGTACTTTTCAAAATGGCTGTTTATCTTCTCTCCATCCCAAGTACCAGCTGTGAGTGTGAGCGCTGCGTTAGTACAGCCGGACTCACTATCACCATTAATTGAAACAGCCTATCAGCATCAACTATTGAGGCTATTCAACTGCAGAAGAACTGGCTCAAAAACCACGTAGTTGAGAGTCCTCTCATCAAACGCATTACTCAAATTGAGCGAAAGGACAGAGAGCAAACAGCAGCAGAAGAAGATTCCCCATAGTCCGATTAACTCTGATTTGTACGCTAAATCATTCATAGTAGTTTACTGCCGTAGTGCGGCTTATCATACGTAATTTTACCTATTTCGAGCGATTGATTGATAACAACACCAAAAAATGAGCGATGAGTAACGAACATAAGCCTCTCGATAACGTACTATCGACCGTTGCAAACGCTAGAAGGCTTCCTCGACGGGGACTGTGTAGTAAACGGTCACACGCCATAGCAAGAATGGATCCAGTCCAAAAAATCTGTGACGGTTAATGGAGTATAGAGGTCATGTGTGCCACGTGTGTTGGTGCAGTGCTCTTGCCCTTTCCAACAAGCCCTTTCTACCTCTGTCTGAACGACAGATACGTCATGAAAACAGACCCTGATGGCCCGGTGGGAGAGACAGAATACTGAACAAGAACAACAATATATACCAATTTTACTGCTTCGCGCGGTTACCCCTGACTTACTGCCCTGCGCGGTTACACCTTCACTTATTGCATTTACTGCAACAGAATCGTAGATGTGGTCGTGATCATCTATGGTTTTCAAACTGTCGATGAAATGAATGATTTCGTAGTAGGCGAATGAAACGCTATGAGGATCCAAAATGATGGAAGTGCCATTTCCACGGCTTTAAAAAGCGACTAGCAGGAGTTTGAATCTGGGAGCTCTCTGAAAGAGTGTCGCTCGACCAAGGGCGAGCAGGAAAGTGCGTCTGAAGGCCTTGAACCAGGCAGCTGATCAGGGCAGCCAGGCTTGAAGAACTTACGCACTTCCTAAGAAGTAATGTAAAGACTCTGATCAAAAATACGAGGTCCTTTGGAAGCAACAGGCCCTGTAAGACCCAAGCTTGTTTAAATCGCGGGTACTCAAGAACCAGAGCAGACGTTCTCTAACCCGATAGGACAATCGGGAGGATCTTCTGCGCATCGATGCAGGCCCGGTCGAGTCAAAACAGGGTGTCGCGTGGCGTTGGGATTTGTTATATGACTTGACATCGAACTGCTGCAACGACTTTCGCGAATCTTCGCCAGTATTCAAGTTCCATTATAGATCCAGATCCTAATTGATGTTGATAGTTTTGCTATTGTCTGATTAAAGTAAGCAACGGTTGCTTCTTCGGTAAATCTGGCCCATGATCTTGACTTGACCGTTGCATTCCACGATGTCAGATCGATCGATCGTGATCAAATAAATTCTTAGATGGGCTGATTCACAGGCTCTTGTGATGTAAGGAAGTGCATGTGAAACCGATGCAGACACTTGCAATTTTCGACCATCCAACAGAGTGATGCTGTGCGACCAAACCTGCTGTCCCCATACATACAAAGCAACCTCGTAGGGTGTGGCATGTGCGAATTCAACCTGGATGAGTAAGTCTTGTATCTGTCCTCGATAGACAGAACCTTGAGCAATCGAATCTCTGTTTCACTCCTCAGTGGGCAGTACTGGTAAATTGTCACGGTTTGGGGTGCTCCTGCCTGTCGTACCTCACCTGTCATGAGAGTGACTGCCACGTCACGCTAGCGTTGTTTACAGCTACTCACCTATTGTTCGCTAGCGGTCCGTTGCAGTGTTTGCCAGCGGTCCGTTGCAGTGTCTACCAGCGGCCCGTTGCAGTTTTTGCCAACGGCCCGCTGCACTGATAGTCCAGCTCATTCGGTTAGTTTGGTTTGCTTCCCCAGCTCTTCACTGCTATCCCCTTCTAATATATAATCTCGGTCGATTCCAGCCAATAGCTCAAAAAGATCAATCAATTCATCACCTCAATCCTTCCACACCTATACATACTGTTCGTAGCCTCACTCAATACAACCTCAGTTTAACCGTTCAATATTTCCGCACATGCGTACTGTCCACGCTCCCCGACATAATCTGATATGACAGGGCAACTGAGGGCTCATTGCTCGTGGACCGTGCCGAACCTTGAGGGTGATACTGACCAATGGGTGTATGATGAAAAGCGGGGTATCTCAGCTGAGCATGCGCGTCCCATCCACTGTTACTGGATCTCATAACCGCGTGCATAGATGTGTTCAGTTGATGCTGACACAGTGGCTCAACAAGATGCCGCAATGGTCTGAATTTGAGGGAAGGGCGAATGGCGTTTGACTTGTGAGGCGCTCGAATGTGCTTGATTGAGCATGATGCATCGAAGAACGATATCCTTATGCAATGGTCCAAACCAAGTGATGGTTCGTTAAAATTCGTGTGTGATGTCGTGTTGACGCGAAGGGCGATGACTTGATCGGTCAGAATGGTGCGGGCGTTGCAAGTCTAACGAACACACCATGTCTTGAAGCAAGGCGTGTCCAGTAGATGTGATTGCTGGACTCAATCCCGATTATCTTCAACTCCTCCGTTATCTAGGGGCCCATGGGTTCTGAGTTGCTCGGTAACCTTCATATCTAGTCCAACCGTCCAAACTGCCCACCGAAAAGGACTAAAGGCGCCGTCTTGGAGTATGATTTGCGGTCTCTTCGTACAACAGCCGTTGGTCGGCTGTCCCCATTCATTTCTCTTTCGTATCTTCGTCTTCTATTCTACATAGCTCAGTCAAAATGCTCATCAAGACTGTGATCACTACACCAAGAGTAACGAGCTGGCTAGAATCCCACATTTCGTTCAATGGTGAGCTGATGTTGTGGTGGTCTCGGCTCCACAGGTCCAGTCAAGGAAATGCGTCATCTACGCTAGACTCAAAAGAGCCTCGCAGAACGGTCAACAAGAAGCCCTGAGCTGAGATCTGGGACTTCGGCAACGTCCTCTACACATCTGCCTCTCAGCTGTCAGAACGGCGATTCATTGCGCACCCATCTGTTCTCGCGCAAGCCTTCGCATTTTCGCCAAGCCCAAGCGGGCCAAGCCCCGCTCCCGTCCTGACGGTCGGATCCACAGCTCCTAGAGACTGCCATCCTTCGACGCCTACAACGCTAGTCTACATGCACCTCAGCGTCGGCTGCATACCTTGCAGGTGTTTAGCTACCGAAACTTAGCGCTTACCAGATACAAATCACGACTGTACCGGACTTGAACCGGTGTGGCGAACCAGAGCGCGCCTCAGTCAACCAACGTTGGCGTATTTAAGAGCGTATATCGATAAACGCACCCAACACTATGTTGCTAGTACATCGAGTTTCTAGGACGGGTGCTTTGTTGCTGTGCTAATAACGCAACAGATTTGAACATATACCACAAGCCGCCGATCCATCACTCCCCATACATTATCTTTGCGAACTTTCGCACTTTCGGCGATTGTAGATCACAGCTTCACTCACTGCTCGCCCTCGATGCCCCGTCTCTACTTACCGTTCGCCCACATGTATCGACCACCGAGCCTGTGTATTCGTTCTAAGGACTGATGCTTGTGAAGGTGTGGACGCACAGTATACTGCATCTTAGCGAGATGGAAGTGGTGGCAGCGGTTGGCCAGAGTTGTCACCACGTCGAAAGTTCTTGTGCTGGTGTTGGGCGTGGTTGCGCGATGCGTGTCCATCTTCTGCCGGCCATTGACAAGATGGTTCGAGCTGCGGTCGAGCTGCGAGTCACTGGCTTCTCTGATGCTAGTCAACCCTCAATGTCAAAGACGGCAATTGAGCGAAATCGTTCATGCTTGCAGGTGAGGAAGGTATGTTCTCGTGCTGTATCATGTCTGACCAAGATTACTTAGGGTTTGCATGCCGTATGGCAAGGTTGCCAAGGTGTTCTGATTCCTTGCAAGACTGAACGGGAGGGTGGCCGCGCACATTCCGTATCTTAACGTGCCTCACTGTGCTGAGCATGCGAGGTAGGGTGTAGATTGAAGCTGCCTTAGGTCAGCCTGGAGTTCGTGAAGAGTGCGCACACTTTTCATATCAATTCAGGTTTTGAGTGCTGTTCTTTTCTATCTGTATTGCGGTTCAGATTGCCTGGTCTAACAGATCTAACATTCACCCACGGTAGCCCTATTCAAGTACATTTGCTGTGCTGCTTGTTCTTTTGAGGGCTTATCATCGAGGTCTCATCGTGCAGCCCCCTTGATTGAGGCCGCACGCTCTTTGACGCCCCTCTCCTGACCTCAGCCGCTGAAGCTAGCACACCCAAGCTCGCCTGCTACCACCTCTCTCCTGAATATTTGAGGTTCCGGCACCATGCTTATATCGACACTCTCCACGATCACAAAGCTAGACATTTTCAATGCCAGGTAAGCAAGTTCACTAGCTATGACGTCGCTACCGATTCTTGTAAACTTGCCGCGACGCCTGCGTTTCGCTCAATGACTGCTCATCCAGCCTACCACCCTTCGGCTTTGCCATTCCTCCTTCCTTGGCAAAGATCGAAAATTATACACGGAGATCTCGGATTCCTCCGATTTCAATGATATGGCAGCTGCACTCGGAATCACATACACCCGTGGAGTCTTTCAAAGGACGGCTCAGCATCCTGCTAGTGATTTTTGTCGCTCAGAAGCAATCGCATCACCATCTATCTGAGAGAAGCTGACCTGTTCCTCAAGCATCCCGCGTGTTTTTTTCCTTTGCATCCTTCATGCGAAATCTTCCATCTTTGCAAGCGTCGCTTCGTCACTCGATGCTCCGAGGAGTCAGTGGTCACATCGACAGAAATTGCGGCAGCAGCCGAGGTGGCAACATTTCTAGGTAGGACCGAGGATCTAGAGCAGCTGTCGCCCTATTGGCCCAATTTTGCAGCCTCTAGAGCACCAAACTATTTGAGTTAGACCGTCAGCACTGATTCGTCTGCAGGATCTGGCTTGCAGCTCGGCTGGGCCAACCGTGCTTAATGCCTCCCTCTCATACGTCCAATACATTTGGCAATGCTAAGCGGCTAGTATAAAGACCCAACAGTTCACCAGCACCCTTGCTTCGGCCTCCGGAAATGTTGACAGTTGCAGTCATGTGCGGCGTAGGAGCGCTGGAACTAGATGCGCGCTACACCTCGTGCGTGCTCGAGTTGAATAACTCTACGATTCCCGTTTAAATCCTGCAAGATTCCTTCCTTCGACCTTCATCCTGCCAAGCGAAATCACATCTGCCCAAGGACAAGACCGATACAGGACTTCTACGTTACACTTTTACCTCACAACATGTCGAAGCCGCTCACTCTGATATCTGCAACCCCCTCCGCCTACGCACGGATGAACCGCATAGCCTTTTCCCTAAAAGGCATCCCCTTCAAGGTCCAGAATGAAATCCCCTGGGAATCCAAGACAATCACGCCTCAATACAACCCCCTAGAGAAGCTCCCCATCCTACTCTTCCCCGACAATCGGCCGCCAGTGTACGAGAGCGCCCACATCCAGAACTACATCGTCGAGAAATACGCCTCTGTCGGCCCTCTCCTCCTCCCTGGCGACCTTGACGGCAACCTTCTAGCCAAGCAAATCGTTGCTTTGAGCGTGGGGTGTATGGACGCGCTGGTGTTGAGTGGGTGGGAGATGCGGAGGAAGAAAGAGCAGCAGAGCCAGAAGTGGATTGAACGGCAGATACGGAAGGTTGATGGTTCGATGCGGGCTTTCAATGACTATGTAGAAGCTGCAAATGGCCGGCCGTACGTTTTGGGCAAGGAGATAAGTATCGCAGATATAGGGATCGCATGTGCGGTCGGAGGTATTGACTTTGTTGGGCTGAGACCTGGATGGCAGAGGCAGTACCCGGCGTTGAGTGAGTACTGCGGTCGACTGGACCGGCTGAAGGAATTTCAGGATACTAAGCCGATCATGTTCAACATTACGGAGCAGGTCGTCTGAAAGATTGAGCGGCGTTCCTCTGCCTAGATAATAAGGATACCACTCAGGGGTGGTAGAGGAGACACGAGTCTCTCCGAATCTTTTCGAACTATTGTATTGTGTTGCCCTCGGGGTCTTGTGTCAAACCAGAGGCATTACCGGTACTACTAACTCCCTTCCGTTTGCAATCTGATTGCACCAGCTCAACTCTTATACCTCCAAGTCCTCAATCCCGAATCTCCAGACCGATCATTCTACAGTGGTCTATCCCATGTGTTCTCAAAGCCCTGCGCGACCATCCAACATGCTGTTCCATCTTCTGTTCCTAGCCGTAACGTCTGGTGCTGTCTTCGCCCATCGAGGATTCTACTGGAGCTCCGGCCAATTACTACTTAATGTTGCGGTGTCAATCGGTCTGTACAAAGTCTGACTATGCCCATAGCAGACTACCTAGTCTGGTGTGTTACAGGTCAGGTATATATTCGTCTTCTCCTGGCTGAATAGCAAATCAGCGCAGTGTTCCATCAACTCGATAATCCTACACTGCCATTCACCGTAGATATCGGTGTACTACAGCGGCCTACGCCGCCACAACTTTCATGAGTCTATCTCAGGGTACGAGTGACGCCATCCTGACAAGTAAAAGTGGATAGAAAATGTGACCCACACCCCACAATATCAGGGTGATTGCGTGCATTGTCGATCTTCTCGACAAGCAGTATACGGCATGTTGGCTTGGTAGTTTGTGCGCACTAAGCAGTTTGGTTACCTCGTATACTCGCTGCTTTCACCAAAGTCCTGCAGTGTAACACAGGTTTAAACATTGTTGCATCAGCAGTCCCTTATTTATGGTTGATGCCGCGTGGAGCCACCGCATCGGCCATTGCTTCACAGGTCAACAGTTGATGCAGACTTATGCACGCGGTTCACTGGAACCTGATGAGCTTGCGTTAGGCAGATCCATGCGGATGTGAATGCGGATGCTGCCTTCGTCAATCTTTTCCGTAAGTGCCTGAGGAAAGCCCGAAGACACGGGACTAGTTGCACCCACCGAGACTTCCCTATGGTCATCGGCTTCAAAGACATTATGGATGAAGTGAAACACTATGCATCACTGCACACCTGAATGTTGATGTGTTGGACTTTATGGAGAGTGCATAGATAAGGAAAATTGAAGGACTGAACTGGGGTTGTCTTGCAGGAAACTATGAACAGTTATCTAGGTGAGTGACAGTAAGCGACGCTAGTGCGAAAAGGCAGTCACCCTCACGGCAGGTGAGGTACAATAGGCGGGAGACACCCTAAACCGTGACATAGTGACATCATCACTTCACTGATGGGTCTATCCATTAATCAGACAAGGGTGGGCATCACGAATATATAAGGAACGACTTGGAATGCACGGTTGAATACATTTGTAGGATTAGCGAAGTGAGCTGAACTTCGGGTTTACAACACAGGAAAGATCGGACAAGCGTCGCGTTTCACTGGAACCTATACAAGAACCACGATAGACCTCAAAAGCCAGTGCAATCAAGATTGAATTTCAATTGCGGTCAGTAATCTCCTATCGACGATCGACACCATAGAATACGTCACACCGATGCATAAGCGATTATATTTCGTCATCGCATTCATTGGTCACTCCCGCGCCCGATTTCGAATGCTCCGCCCGCGAGGTTACTTTTGCAGATAGATCTCGAACTACTCTAATCCCAGTCATCCTATTCTCGCATGTGGAACATGAACCACTAGCCTTCGACTGTCGCCCGATAAGGTTTGCATTTCTCCAACAGAACCGCTTCAAGTATATGTGTAGCCCGATAAGGACAAAGACTTTTGTCACCAGGTGCTTCCACACACCCTTCCTCCATCAAAACAGACAGGCGGTGACGATTCGCAAACAAATGTCTCAAGCTCAGCAGAAACTGATGCACCCTCGTATTTTCGGAGCTGCCACTTTGTTCCACGAACAAACATCTGTTCGCGCTCTATCGTTCCAATTTCGTAAGAGGCTAACACAGAGTTGTCTGCTTCGGGCTCTGGATCCGCCACCGCTCCAATCGCGGCTTCTTTTGGCCCGTAACAGCACTTTTGAACATTATCACAGGATGAACCGCACTGATCCACAGCGGATGGTTCATGTGGATAAGTGTTGCAAATTGTGGACTCGTTAAAACCTAAAATTGGACATCTGATCGTGCAGAGCTCTTCACTCGCCACAGTGTCTCGCTCAAACCTCTCAGGATCACAGCATTGGACATGTACGAGGTTTTAGTGGTGCAGAGACCCATGATGATTAGTACAACAAATCTATTTAAAACCCCGCTGTGCAAGCACTCTAAGAACGCGACGTGTGTGAATATAGTGTGGTCTTGAGTGTAGCGGTGTGGACCGCTGTAGAATACTAATAGCTACGGTAAATGATAACGTAGGACTATCGTGTCGATGGAATACTGCGCTGTATTACTATCTAGCTAGGAGGAGACGACTATATACCTGACCTGTAACACACTAGTCCAGGGTGGTCGATTAGAGGTATAATCAGACACTGTACGGACCAACCGATACAGCAACATTGATCAAATGCGGCTTTAGCCTTCTGAGATAGATAGTCATGGACCGAACTATTTGGATGAAGCTCCGAGAAGTCGTCCTCAATCACTCCAAGGACCTCGGAGATATCCAGCTCTGAGCCATGTTTTTCAACCTCGCGAATGGCCAGCTGTTGAAGGCCAACAAGAGCATGATTGCTGTTAGTGACATAGACCAGCAGGACTCATTCGAGAATATTACGCGCTCTGAGTAACTGTGATTGCAGGACACTACATATGTCACGTGGTTACCCACTAACAATCAGTCTACTACTTCATGTATTCAAGCTTACATCACGGACATCTCAGTCCAGGACATACGAAAATACACAACACAACATGGACTTGTGCAAAATTCATTTCTAACTGCTGACAGTAATGGCGAATATGGTGAAAGAATGTTCCCCTAACCCTAACTTGACCTTGGCGTTGTGTAAGTCAACACTGCCCGACTGGATGTAGTGCCCATCTAGGACAAAATCGACACATAGAGTGCCGAATTTGTTACCAGATTGAGCCTCCCGGGTGGTGACTATGGTATCTGCATTGTTTGTGGTCGACACGAACACTTGATGCGCATCAGTACGTGAAGACAGAGAACAGACAGTGCATGAGTCATCTTTATTAAAGCAAGCGGCGACAGCGTATATTACGCCTGAAGGGATTAGTTGAAACTTGTTATAATGATTCACCTTGTGCGTGGCCGAGTCAAAGGGAAGAAGGACTTAGAAGAATATGCAATTTGAGTCTAGCGTCCGGTCTTCAAGCATGCGCATTCTGGTACACTATACGGTGCTGCAGTGCAAGGAAATGGAAATTCCTACTAGAGACAGTCAACGTTTACAATGCTCTTGCCCTTGTACCACCAACGATTCGCATCTTCCTCAATACGCCTGAATTTCTTTCGAGCGATCCAGTTGCTACTTTCACTTCTTCACCCCACGCCCCTTCTTCGGCGACCAAACCGCCGCTTCCAAGATTCCAGTACATCCTGGCGACCGAATCTTCTCCATCTCGCTCTCAATGCTTATGTCGACCAGCTTTCTCAGTGCATCGCTCCTCCTCGGCAGCGGTCTGAGCAGCGCACTTGTATCGTCCTTCTGTGCTCTGAGGACATGCATGGGAATACATGTTACATGGTCGAATGTGAGCACCTTCTTCTTGCGACCGCGACTGGGCTTAGAGGGCGTGAAGTGTGTGCGAGGTGTTGTGCGGGCGCGCTTTGGTGTGACGGGCTCTGAGGAAGGGTCGTACTCTGAGAGGGAGCGCTTTCGAGGCACGCAAGGGGTTGTAGGTGTCGATGCTTGACGTGGTGTTGCGGGCATGGTTATTTTGTGCGATTTCTGCGACCTGGGCGTACTTGGGTGTAAAGCTGACGAGGAGATGTTGGTTGGTGGTGGTGTTCGAGGTCGTGCAGAAGGGCGCTTGATTGGCGAGCCCATCAACGAGTGCGAGGAGAGAAGAATCGCCTCCATTGCGGCGGTCTTGGACGTTGATGGACTCAACATCTTTGATTCAAAGGAAAGTGTATTTGAGTGGAGAAAGTTGAAAGCTTAGGAAGGGAGGAGAAGTCGAGGACTGGGGCATGAAATTCGGAGCACTTGTCTTCACCTCACCATGGAGCGATGAGGCCCACTGTCCATCCCTCACCGTGAACATACCAAGTTTGATACGACGTCCCCTGCCACCACATCAAACAGAGCTTTGCGTGTTAGAGGACGAAGAGCGCTCAGGCTGCTGTCAAGGTCCAACTATGTTGCGGTGTATATAACCTTTAGGATCTGAGGGTCAAAAGGGTCGGCCTTTTTGTATCGCTGCAGGGCGGCGACAAAGAACATGCGCATCGCGAAGTGTGCCTTGTTTGGACCCACATAGTTGGCCGTGAGCTGGCGCATAGATGAACTCCTAGTCCCACAGGTCCATCAGCCACGCACAGCTGTCACCACCTCATCCATCATGACCTCCTCATCAGTGCCCTTGCACTTGAAAACAGGAATGCTCGAAGTTGTTGCTAGCTGCAGTCTAGTCTACCTCGAAGAGGTATCAAACTTTCGCCCTATGAGAGTCGCTGGTAGACAGGCGCAGTGCTTCGATGTGTGAGATGGATCGACCAGATGTGTGATATCTCAAACGAGACAGAACAGCTGGTCATGTTGGACTCGTTCGACCTGAATTCTTCGGCAGACTGCGTGTGCCGCACTTGCTGACGAAACCATGACGACTTGAGCGAACTTCCAGGCGGTGTAGAGCCAGCCGTTTAACCCATGAGCTCCAAGCAGATGTGTAACTGCATGAGCAGTGTTGGTCGGAGGCTGTGGTCAATGATTGAATTACTATCTGTTGTTTTTGTTGGTGTCCGTGTACAGAAGCTCTCGGCTCGGAGGTAAGTGCACTTGCCCTCGGGCAGTGCCTTCCTCAATAGAATATCATGTGACTTAGCCCACGCACGTAGTTACAAGATGCCTCGGGCCAACCTCCCAACCGTACGCCTGACAGAACCAAGGATGGGCGTTGATCTCTTCCTGTATCTATCCCTTTTTGTCTCGATCGTAGCTCAGGTTCATCTAGCCATTCCCGAGTTCGCGTGCTCAAGACGATCGACGCCGTCAAGGCATTGCACTCTGCACCTGTGCATCATTTCACTGCTCTACACGTGAACCCTTTTGTGTCTATAGTTTCTGCTTTAGCGGTCGATAGTGGAGTGACACTAGAGGGGTCTTGCGGCAGGCCAGTCGTCGTGTACAATGACACAGTGGGTGCTGGCAGTGTAAGTGGCGGTTTGGCGAAGGTTTGATGCTGAGTTGAACAGCGCTGGTGTCAAGGCCTGCAACAAATATTGTTCGGTGTCTCACTCGCCTGCTCGTCAAGGCCCAATCTAATCCAACGCAAATGCACATCGGGTACTTCGAGGCGGTGCAAGGCCAATATTGCCATTCCTGTCGCGGACCCAAGACAAATACATCAAGCCCCTCACGCAGCTGCGGTCGCACAGAAGTGAACTCGTAGAACTTCCACCTTTCTTTCTTCTACCCATGCTGCAAAAGTGCAAACGCGTCGGTCTCGATGACGATCTTGACGAGCTCAACGACTGCGACTTTGAGCGCGCGAACTTCGAGAACGACCTTGACGAGCTTCAGACCTGTGATTTCGAGTAAGAAGAGTCTGCAGCACAACAACAGTAACCCATCCCTCCGTCGAGCAGCCTAACCCGCGCCAAGCTTACGACTGAGGACCTGCTGCTGCACATACAGCTCGGAGACCCTGGGGCGAAGATCAACGTGCCTACGGCTTCTGAGAAGTCAGCGAGAACCAAATCGAGAGCCGATGATGAGCAGGGGCTGCAGGAGTTTGGTGTGCGTTCCAAGTGGACGCAAAATTCTCCTCCAGAGCTCTTGAAGCACTTTCGGAAAGTCGTCCAAAGAGAGCGGGGCGAGAAGTCACCAAGCGCTAGGCAACTGGCTAAGAGCTACCCTTCCACGCCTCGGGTAAATGAGTCAACAGTCGTGGGCCTCGTTGCACCGCTCCTGTTGTTTGAGGACAAGTTGCACCGCCAATTTGATAGTGAATACCACATCATCCGCAATAATGGCATCAGTTACGACCAGCGGTACGTCACCAAAGACAGACAAAAACTTGCTACGCCCAGAACAGATGTAGCAACAAAGTTTATAAAGCGCAGAGATGTTCTTTAATCACATCAGTGAAGAACTTCAGGGCTTACATTCTCTTCTGTCTTCCTGAGCGAGGCGCATAGGGTCTGTAGGTACCAAGGTGCAACTGCTGCGCCACATGATTAAATCTACAAGTCCACTGTCACGGTTCAGGGTGCTCTTGCCTTTCGAACCTCACCTGCCAGGAGAGTGACTGCCACGTCACACTAGCGTTGTTTACAGCTACTCACATATACATACTGTTCGTAGTTTCACCAATACAACCTCAGTTCAATCATTCAATTCTTCCCACATGCGTACTGTCCACGCTCCCCGACACTTACAATTCCCCTCTTGGACATTGAGTTCAGCCACCCTATGATACAGAAGAATTCCATATCAGATTGCCATGGCTGACCTTCACAGACCCTTGTGTATCCACAATCGGCGGCCTGAATCAAAGCGAAGCCCTCCCTCCTGCCCTAAGTACGATGGGATAACGGAGGAAACGAGCGAATTGCTCTAAACTATGACTACAGTATGAAACCGAGCTTCAGAAGGGACGACCTATCAACCTCGAGATCACGACTACATGAAGAAAAGCGAGCGCAAGTTGCGGTACGTATACTTCCTCGATAACACCGGAACATCCACGCAAACGGCAGATACAGTCGAGATGCGGATCTTCTTGCGGTACAGCACCAATCTACCAATCCCACTCGGGCTCAAGGTCGATGAAATGGAGTTGCCCTTCAGCGTTCCTGGTTGACACTACCCATCCACCTCCTCGTCGATAGTGTCCATTTGCCCACAGCGAAGTTGGTTATCAGGTTTCGCGGGAAAGGTTGAAGGGTGCTCGTACATCGTCCAATTTGGGGAGTTGGGCGGGCCAAAGGAGGAGGCAAGGGCTGTCCAGCCAGACTTGGTAGGCCCTCCGGTGGCATAACAGGTTGGCTTCGCGTAGCGAGGGCTGAGACGAAGGAATGGTGGGAGCAGGTATACAGGTGATAGTGTGGGTGGTACTGGGATGATTAGGAAGAGTTAGCAGCGGAATGCGAGGAGACGTACTGTCACGCTTTTGTGGATCGAGGACGTCGGACATTGTGATGTTTGTGATGTTCGATATGGTAGCGGATTTACCAAGTGCCGAATTGTGAAGGGTGGCAGCGCAAAAGAGACGGATTAATCACTTCTCCCAACGCAAAAAGCTAGCGAAAGGGGAGTTGGGATGTTTAGCAAGTCGACATTGTGGAGGTAGTTCACAAAGTTCTCATCGCTTCCTTTCACCAGGTGAGGCGCTCGGTCTCGGGTACTCACAGGCTCTACAGGTCTTGTTGAGGTCATGCAAACGCTGCCTTCACCCAGAGCTGACGATCAAGACGGTCGAAATGCGCACTAACTACGGGAAGGATAACCATCTAACAATATTGGCGCCGCGTTGCGTTTCAAAAGCTCTGCCTCTGACCTGGCCATCGCTCTTTCAGCTTCCTGTTTGTGCTCAGATCGTTGCAAAGTGGCTGATCGACTTCATCGACCGTGTCACTTGGTTCCAAGAAGAGGAAAGTGGATGATGTTGCTCCCCCCACTCTCCGTTCGTGGTGGCGTAGCTGTTATAGGCTACAATGCCCACAGCTTCGGTACCGTCGCTCAAGCACGACGATTGTGGCCGATCGAACCAGAAGCGCATTCCTGAATAGGCTTGCACTGTGTTTGAGAAAGCTCAAATTGTACGCCAGCGCGCATGCTGCGCTTTATCCAGCCCGCATCTGTACAAATGATCTGCATAGAGACAAATGCTGCTGTGTCATGTGCAGATCTATGCAATGATCTTCACTTGCTTTAGCGCGTCGTGCTTCTTAGGCAGTTAAAGACCTGATAGTGGCTGACGTTGAAAAACTGGACAAGTTCATTGACTGTGATGCAGGGCGAGATCAGACTCGCTTTTCTTCTTGCTGAGCATCCCAACTGCGAGAAAGAGAGGATTGAGAAGATGTCTGATCCGGAAGTGTGGATCCACATACCTAGTTCCCGGTATTGAATGCCACGACAAACGGGATCATGGGTCGCTTAAGGCGGTTTGGTGTGCAGCTCGTATATTTGGCGGAAGATGTGCGACTAGTGCGTTACGCTGTTGTCGCACGACAGACAACAGGGTTCAGACAACCACTTACTGTCGAACATCATCCCATCTCTAGCCTCGGACGTACCACAGAAAGTTGGATCTTCCGTGTTGCGTTTGCTGCGATTCTGAACTCCGTGAACATCGATAACGGAATAAGGTGCCAATTTTAGCGCTTCATCAGAGTCCACCATAGCGACGAGAGAATGCTCCTGTCGTTGTTAAACATATAGGCAAGACTGATTGACATATTCGTGCCTCCAACCTCAACATCTCCAATGATGATACTACGCAGCACATCGCGTGAAGGTCCAGATCTCTCAGGGGATGATTGTCGGCGCTTCGCGCGTCGTCAGCGGTGCGGCAGGGCAAATCGCCGTTCAAGAATGCTGTAATACAATGTTTGTATGCCTCGTCAGTCCCGCATGGCAAAACGTGCGCTTTAGCTACATGTCAACCACACTGAAACGTGCTTGTCAGGGTTTAGCGGTACCGGACAAAGCTCAGCGGCTTTGTTGCTGTTCCACAAGTACCGTCACCACCCGCTTAATACGGAGTCTTAAAACCATTGCAAGTGGTAGAGGGTACACGCAGCATTGGTTTGGTATTGTCTCAAATCCGCGAAGGTTGGAATTGAACGGCTGTGGTTCGAGAAGTTGAGAAGTCGAGTGGCCCAATTGGCCCGTTCTTGGAAGTTGGACAGCAGTAAGTAATGTATTGCTCGCCAAGGTGGTCGTTGAAGATGCCACAGGACTTCGAACAGGGCAAGGTGGTTGGGTGTCGACTGAAGTGAAGCTTGGTCCCATCAGCCTTAGGGAAAACCGGCCGGGAATTGTTAGTGTACATTATCCGGAGACCAGTGCCTGCTCTTGAGTATCTCTGTGCGGGCAGCAGGTGCCTGGATGATAACGATCATGGTCTGGCTAGGTGGCTAATTCGTAACAATGTAGATGCACAGGTCGAACGCATCCAGGAGTAGCCAGATGACCCGCTGCAAGGTTGGGCACAGTTCAAGAACCTATCACAGACCTGATTGAGAAGTATCGAAGAGCTTTCTGGTCCAAATCGGAGTTGATGAGACTAAGTGAAAGTTGATGACTGTGGCGAGTTTGAAACCGCTGGCGAGATTATTGCACGGTTACCCATTTCTGTTGACTCCACATCCACTACTTCCAATGTTCAGAATTCGCCTGCAGGATCTTCCATCGCTTCGTCAACGATCAGATACTCGAGGGCATCGGGTTTAATATTGAGCAGGCTGGAAATATATCTGGTCAAATACCTGCGATCTTCAGTCCTCGAACGCGGTGCAGATGCAGCGCTGAATACAGTCCTTGCCACAGTTACTGTTGCTTTCAAGCAATATCAGGACGACATTCGTCCCCGTAGATCTCAAGATGCCAGAAAGTCAGGCATAGAGGCGGCGTCACGTTTGATGTGTGCGACATTGGGCTCATCTCTCACACCTTGCTTGCATCATCTGGTCAACTATCATCTACCAGTCGTGAGCTGAGGTTCGCAGCTAAGTCCAGTCCCCGCAAGGTAAAGACCATGGCCAACTTTCTGCAAACCTTATGCAAAAATCCTTGCAGATCATCGTTTTGGCGTTGAGCTGAGGCAGTGTCGGCAAGAGCTTATGGCGTGTCCCTCGGCGTGCGCCTGCCATCGATGCTCTCTTTTCACGCTAATTTTGTTTACTGCATTTCCATTAGTGTTCAGACTCTAGCATCCCCAGCGCGTTACGTATTTTTGTGGTCAAAGACCCTTTTTGCAAACTTCAATTTCCTCACGACAAGCATCATGAACTCCGCTCCTCGTCGCCGCCCCGGCATCTCGAAGACGCCTTCGGCGCAACCTTCCACCCATCTCCCTCCTCTTACCTCCACACTCGTCGACCGCGCGGGTCAGAACCTCGCTGCTGCGCTTGCCTCCCGCAAAATCACTGCGAGGAAGAAGGCTGCGGAGCCAAAACCCTACGAGCTTGCGCCCCGCGCGCCGACGCCATCGCCTTCCAGAGGCAGCGACTGGTACCTGCTGATGAGCGCCAGGGTTGCGGCCAACAAAGCTGCTTTGTCCGCGAGACCACGCCGTTATATCAAGATGAACGTTCGTGCGCAGTCTGGCCTTGCAGCAGGTAATGTCATGAACGACTTCCTTACTACACCCAAACATTATCATCCCAACATCCTCATCCTCTATCATACTTAAACGTTAGGCTGTTAGTAATCAAAAGGGAGCCTGGCATTTTAGCTCGAGAGGAGGCCGAAGGAGACCAGAAGGAGGACGACGAAGATGACAATGACATTCCCCCGCCGACTCCTTGCCCTTCCCGACGCAATTCTGTCGCCATTACCACCGCCGCCACGCCCCACGTTGGGCTTATTTCTTCCCCTGCCCGCCGCCCTCCTCGTACCCCTGCCACACCCTCCCTCCTCCGCCAACCTTCACGCCGTCCTCCACGCCCTTTCGCTGTACCAGGTTCAGTTCTGGCGAGAGAGATGAGGATGGAGGGTCAGGAACGGGAATGATGTGTTTCTTGGTTTTCAAATAAGGTTACCAGGATTAAGCTCTCAACACGAATATAATGATCAATGCCCCTGCATTCTTGAGGCTTGTATCACCAGTCCAGGGATAAACAAGTTGTTAGTATAGTTGACAACTGGGCACTAGCCTCACGCAATGCGAAAGGCTGGGACCGTCAACACCGCTGATATCGACCTGCTCAGCCGGACTTCCTCTGGAAGGATTGACCCAGAATACAGATCATGTACTTGAAGATACTTTCCTTTTTGTTCCTAGCTACAGCCGCGTACATCTCTGGATTCGATGACTCGAGCATTTCGATGCAACACAGGCTGCCTTCTATATCACTCATTGAACAAGTTCCAGTCCACCTTTTCACACCGTCTTCCATTAGACCCTCCGCTCCTTGGCCCAAGACCTATCATCTTAGTTTGCTTAATTGCCAAACAACTGTAACGTGTCAGCATGGCATCTGAGTTCACAAGGTACATGTGAACTGCATCTTTCACGTGACTCTTCGTCACCTTTCTAGTCATCTTAGTTGTGTATATAATTGCTCTCTGTAGCTCTCTCAATAGAACAACCTTCTGCCTCTGTTATGTCTGCTTGTTGGTCCAACCACATCTGACATAACGCATATTTCGTGAATAACATTAACTGTGGAAGTGTTGAGATGATTGATTGATCTTTTTGAGCTATTGGCTGGAATCGATCGAGACTATATAGTAGAAGGGGATAGCAGTGAAGAGTTGGGGAAGCAAACCGAACTAACCGAATGAGCTGGACTATCAGTGCAGCGGGCCGTTGGCAAACACTGCAACGGACCGCTGGCAAACACTGCAACGGACCGCTGGCAAACACTGCAACAGACCGCTGGCAAACACTGCAACGGACCGCTAGCGAACACTAACACAAGTAAGAAAACGCTGTGCAATATCTTCAGCGAAACTAAGCTTACTCTTCGTTCTTACCCAGGGACCAAGGTCTTGCCAAGGGTATGTCGAGATGCGATCTGCTTTTCCGGCGGCTACGGCAATTATCAAATTATTCTGAAGCATAATATGTTAACCTCCTTCCTCAGAACAAACTCCTTCTTCGCTGTTAGTTCATAATGCTTTGTCGCAGGCTTTGCACTATTGTGAACATGAACTGTATTACTAATCGTACCGTGCGATAACCTGAATATAAGCTGAGCTAGGATAATAGAACGTTACAATACAAACACACTCTTCTTGACTTTCCAGATCAATGATACCCGCACTCAACTGTGTGACATGCATTGTGCAGATTTGTCTTCCATTCGGCTCCATTCACTGCACAATGTAGGAGTTATGTTGCAGTAAATGCAATAAGTGAAGGTGTAACCGCGCAGGGCAGTAAGTCAGGGGTAACCGCGCGAAGTAGTAAAATCAGTATATTCTGTTGTGTTGTTTTTGTGTTCTGTCTCTCTCACTCGACCCCCAGCGGGGTCTGTTTACATGACGTATCTGTCGTTCAGACAGAGGTAGAAAGGGCTTGTTGGAAAGGGCAAGAGCACTGCGCCAACACACGTGGCACACATGACCTCTATACTCCATAAACCGTCACAAGTTAAGTATTTCGACGCACGTATAAGAACGGACATATTTCCCCGACATCAGTAGATAGCAACGTGTCTAGTTTTATCATCATCCTTGCACTGCACTGCTATGTACTGTCACTCCCTGGTACTCTCTGACACTCGCTAAGCTGTGTCCCGCTCCGTCTCTCTATTATCATCCCCATTGTGAACTGAACACGGATGAAGCCAGTCGAGTATTGGTGAAAGCCCGTCCCGAATGTATACCTGACACATTCGCTGCCCGAGAAGTACATGTAATTGTTGCTCTCAGTACCCTCAATCATCGCGCACTCGGACGACGCTCGATAGAAGCTAAAGCTCAGAGCCAACGGTACCTCACCCTACACGAAGCAAACGCCATTGTTAAATTCTTGTTACAACGAAAAGGTTTTTGGACAACCTGTGCGAATGAAGCACATACCCTCGATAGCATTCAGTGTCACTTGCAATCGGCCGCTGGCGAACAGACACTCAAGCTTCCCAGTCTGAACTGGGCTAGGTCCTTCGAGAGACACCGTCCAGAGCTCGTAGCGAAGAAGAACAGGCCGCAGAACTGGAACAGGTACGATATCTATCATATTATTAAGTACTGGTTTGAGATGATTGGAGAGGAACTACAAAACCCGGCTATACTACCGGAGAATCTCTATAATATGGAAGAGACTGGCATCATGCTAAGTATGCTAAATTCTGTGAAAGTCCTTGTTAGTAAGGACAATACTCAACCCTATAGAGGGGTGCGCGTCAAGCACAACATCTTAATTGCAGTGGAATATATTTCCGCCCATGGAAGTTGTCTGAACTTGTCACGGTTTGGAGTGCTCCTGCCTGTCGAACCTCACCTGCCATGAGAGTGACTGCCACGTCACACTAGCTTTATTTACAGCTACTTACCTATACATACTGTTCGTAGCTTCACCCAATACAACCTCAGTTCAATCCTTCAATAATTCCGCACATGCGTACTGATCACTCACGATCTACCCCATCAAAACCCTATCATGATCTGACCCGCTAAAATTCATCAGGCTAACTGGACTACTCATTCCATCCTTGATGGGGTCTACGCATATTCTGATACTGGGTTAACTGATTTCTACATCAGCTTACAGTGGCTCAAGCTTATCTTTGGTTCGCCAACTAAGCAACAGGCCAATACAAAACCACAGATACTCATATGGGATGGATTTGGAACGCATGAAACCCTCAAAGTCCTGGAGTTCTGTTTTGAAAGAGCGCAGCGTTGGGAGCAAATGCAGCGGAGCCAACAGCCACAGAGGCGCGGACAAGCAAAACTCGGTTTGCACAAGGAGGGCAAAATTCAGATGCTCCATAGCCACGGGCGAGAGTTGCGTGGACGATCAAAGCGCAGGTTGAGGAGGATTAGAGGATGTCAGAACCATGGAGGGCTCCGGTGGCGCGGATGTGGTAACGGAGAACAAGGACTGTACACATTGCATGGCGGTAATGGAGTTTAGTGGGGCATTTTCCTGCTGCGCCAATTGCAAGTACAGTAATGAACATGCCCGCCGTCGTGCCCGCTAGGTTGCCTGCTGTTGCCATGTTGGTCTCGTGTGCGTTGATTGCTTAATCTCATAGTGATGTTCGGGGTGGCTCATCGCCTTAGCCACAGTCGCGTGATTGGGTTGCGGGGTGCTGTTGCTGAGCCAACCAAAGCGTCCCAGGTTTTAGACGCTCCGCCAATCAGCGCGAGAACGACGACTATCGAACAACTCCAAGATGCAGCACAGCATACGGCTATGTCGAAATCGCAATCGGACGTTGCGCAGCACAAACACATTACCTCGCCCCCAAGTGCTACAGATCAGCCTTTGCCGCCTCCGCATACCGATAGGAAGTCACCTGCAGGGGCGCTTCGTGTTCTAGCGCTTTTCAGACGTATTCAAGCAGGAACGCACACCGATCAAGATCCGTGGATAGAGTTTCAGCTTGCACAGGGAGAATATGATCAAATAGAAAATACGCTCCGGCAAGACGGTGTGCTTTGGGGGTTCGTGGATGACAAAATACGGTTAGTAAACTTCAAAGACCGCAAAGACCACGGCTGACAATGGACTCTGGCAGGTATGACTACGACGAAAGCACACGCAGACTTGTCGTTCGCAAGCCTACTGGAGTTCACGAGCTCTTTATCAACGAGCTGGAGGATGACATTCGGAGCCAGCTCAAAGCAATACGTGGCGGATTTGACAGAAAGGCTCAATTCGCGCAAAAAGTGCGACCAGCCTGATCGACTGAAATATGTTTCGCTGCTAGCGCGTCATGTAACAAATCCAAGTACGAGCCAGACGCGTCATTCGGACATAGTGGTGCACAATATCCGGGCGTCATCATCGAAGTTGCGTACTCGCAGAAGAAGAAGCGCCTAAGCCGGTTGGCCGAGAACTATCTCTTAGACTCGGATGCCAGCGTAAGGGTTGTCGTCGGCCTAGACGTTGAGTACGGCAAGCAGCAGTCACGCAAAGCAACGTTGTCGATTTGGCGGCCCCAACTGTTTGAAACTGCTGATGGGCTCGAACTACGAGCTGTCGAAGAGGCCACGGATGAGGTAAGCAATATCTCCATAACGCTGAACCGTCCTGATTTGCTGACTTTCTTACTAGGCTTTCCGTGACGATCAAGGGAACCCCGTCGAACATCCTGGCCTACGGCTCTTCCTCAGTGATTTTACCTGCGAGGAACTTTCACAGGAGGAGATAGGAAATGACGATACGGAAATTCGCATCTCCGGAATACAGCTCTGCCACTATCTTGCTGCAGCGGAGGGCAAAATGCGGCGAGCACTAAGCAAGCATTCATTGGCCAAGGGGGTCACAAAACGGAGACGGTCGGAAACATCTTTTAAAGAGATTAAGCCAGGTGCTGAAGCAAGGTACGATGAACAAGAGGAGAGAGCAGCGAAGCGCACAGCGGATTATGACATTGATTAAGAGGAAACATCATCACTGAAGAGTTCCTCAGAGTTATCGAATTACCATTTAATCCTGTCAAAGCAAATGCCTTACGACTCTCCTGTCGCGTTATGACGCGTCACTCTGCTGCATAAAGTGCTATCTCGTTGCACCGCACCAGCCGGAACGCGGCTACGCTGTCTGCCTAACCTGCGTTTCCTGGCGCCGTAACGCTTTGTGCGATTCCATTTACTTCATCATACTCTTGCTCTTTATCACCTTTCCAGTGTCATCTCTGAATCCGTACTCCCACACGTGCTCATTTGGATCCTCTCGGGAACGGAAATCTGGAGCTGTACGAGTCGGCAGATTAGGATCGGTATGTCATAGCTTGCGTTATCGATGGATATGAGCGCAAGCACAATGTAGTCCAATATCGGTATCTGTGTCTATGCTCTGATTGGTTCCCTCTCTTTAAACCAGTACCAAAACTTCCTTTCCAAACTTGCTCCTCAGATCCACAAACACAGCTAACTCAAGCGCGTTGACAGTGCGTTCCTCGTCAGCATCAACTTCCCATTTCCAGTGAATATGACCATTCGCTGCCTCGTCAGCTCCTTCGCCGCCGCCTCACTCTCCTCCCCTCCAAACTTCTCTCCCTCGACCAACCTCTCGTTGATCAACCGTACACATGTACTGAGATTCTCCCAGTGGTCCCACATACCGCGGTCAAATACTTTCTTATTTGCAATAAGATCAGAAAGGATCTTCCAGAAGGTTTCGAGACGTGCGAGCGCAATAGACTCCCTAACGGCTTGCTGAAAGATAGGTCGACGGGGGGGGAGCTGGCGGCAACGTTGGTAGTCTGCCAGGTGGGACATCGTTTTCTTCCATTGCTCCTTACGGCGGACGGTAGTTGACTTGAGGGGCGCCGGACGAGGGCGATCTGGGGTGGCTCGGCGGAAAGGAGTCAAGCGGTGAGACGGGGTAGCGTGGCGAGCTGGAGTGCGAAGACGGCTGGGCGTAAGTCGGTGGAAGGGGCTTCCTCGACGGAATGGTGTTGGGGTACGACCCCTCGCTGGCTTGCGCCGGGCAAATCTTTGTTCCTCGGAAGCTACAGCCTCGAGATGCTTGGGAGCTGCTGCAGTGTGGGCTGCAGGGCATCTTCTGCTAGCTACCGAGCCCAGAGTAAGTGGGACTTTCGGTGCTGTCGCAGGTGCGAAAAGTGACGACTGCTGACTATCACTGCCTCCGAAATATACTCCACCCGAATTTGTCCTCGCAATGTTTTGAAGGTGATTAGCTGTTCTCGCGGCGACACGATTCATCAACGGCTCATCGTCAGAGCTGTCATCAGAGCTGTCAACATGAGCGTGCTGAGGCTTCTCTGATAAGATTGTTGCATCCTTGCTGAGCCCAAGTGCAGGTCTACGAGTCGGCAATGCAATCGATACCTGTGGAGGATCAAAAGTTTTGCCGTGTGGCACACGAATTGTTGTTGTCATCACATACTCGTCATACCCGCCCGACGACATCACTAATTTTGGAATCGACGATGTTAGTGTGAAAGCTGGCCTAAAAGCACTGGCTGAGACCATGGAGGCAGCTCGAAAAACCTGAGTTTGAACGGATGTTGACTCCTGACGCACCTCGAAATCTGGGCGTCCACAAAGTGCGAGAGGGATGGTGCGATCGTCCGTGTCCAAGTGCATCGGCTCAGTCTGGCCAATGCCCGTATCGGGGGAGTGAGCAGCCCCTTGTAGCTGACGGATATAGGACGGTGTGCGTTCGAAATGCGTCCTGGACATCTCTCTGCGATCTGTCATCGGCGAAAGAGACCGCACGGCCAGAACTTTCGGCGACGAAGTTTCCAAGGAGAGGATTTCTGCATCTGTACCGCCATCTAGAGCCATCGTCGGTGCTTCAGAAGTCGGCCTTTCTGCTGAGCCAACCATACCCATCTTCAGCTCCGCCATTCTTGCAGGATCCATCGTTGAAGATCTCGCTAGCTCGGTTGGAGTCGTCCGCGAGCTAGCTCTCGACTGGAGATCAAAAATCGAAGAGGTAGCGAAGGGCTGGACGAGAGGCGCCACCACTGTAAAGTCTGCAGTCGTTACTGTTGTCTTCTCGGATGTCGTTTCCGCGGTCTGCGGGCTGGTTATGGAAGCCTCAAGGTTGACAGGAACGATGCTTCGAGTTGCCCTCTGCAGTCTGGATCCATTGGTGCTGAGCTGGTCGTTGAGAGCGCTTTCTGCGTGGGTAGCGCTCTTCGTACTCGCTATAGTGCCGTTAGCAATGTCACACTCGAGCGACATTCAGGTCGATCCCTACCGGCTTCCTGTGGATTGGCCAGCCTTGCTGTCTGTTTGAACGAAGATCCTCGTGACTTCGTGACTTTCGAGCGTACGACCGGGGTGAAACTCAGTGTAGCTTTTGCCGACGCCCTGACCGCCGACTTTGTTGCTGATGGCCTTACAAAGGGTGTCGATGCAGGCGTTTCGGCAGCACTGGATGGGGATCCATCCATCAATATGACCTGAGCCCTCGCAATTGTGTTTGATGGTGCTGTCTTCCTAGTAAACAATGTATGTGATGGCGCTGATATAGTCAAAAACGATGGATGCTGAGAATGGTCGACGAGAGCCGTCGTCCTGTCATCAGCGTGTTCTGTACTCACTGTCACGCTGTCAATGACGTGGGACTTCCTGCAGTACTGACAAGGCTTTCTACCGTGTTCTTTGGACCGTGCCAGGTTGGCGGTCTGCTTGACTTTGGGTATCTTTGGTGTTGCCTTTGGTTTTGTCTCACTCGGTGACGCCTTGGGCTGGGTATATTTCGAAGGTCCTACTGCCTTCTGGACGGGTCTTCCATTCTCAGGCTTCCTGACTCTGAAGCCGTACTTGTTGAAGCCTGGACGAATGGCCTGGATCTTGCGCTTAGGCGGCATCTTCGCGGAAATGCACAGCACCGGTATGCAGAAAAGCTTGTGGGTTGCTGAGATGAGGAGGGAGAGAGTCCAGGACGAAGGTTGTGTGTTTCGAGAAAACGAAAATCCAAGTGAAGCAGCGTAGCTTCCTAAGCGAGGTGAAGAGAAATCAGGAAGAAGCTTGTTCACTGACTGTGGTCGGACTGGTGGTGCGCAAAGTGAAGGCGCCAGGGCCCGCTCCGGACACTTCAAGAAACGCAACTTCTCACATCGATTGGGCAGGTTGATAACGCTACTCGATGGCAGTGGTAGGCACAGTCTTTACTGAGAAGCACAAAATCGGCGAAGTAGAGAGACTTTGGCATGAAGTCGGCAAATCATGCAGTCGTGCACTCCAGCTGGACCACTCATGCTCAGTTGAGTACTGCCAATCATTATACGGCAAGGAAAATCTTGATGCTCATGCCTGACTGAATGTGGCTCCCTCATCACGGCAGTAAGTGCGAAAACTATCGTCCTGGCTTAACCAAAGGCTAGACGTATGACCAGCTCGAGGTTCGACATCGATGAAGTCTGACCTGTCCTTGTCAGCTGTAACCAGCAGCTTCCGTCCTAGACATCAATCGATACAAATGCATCCTATCAAGATGACTAGTAAATATGTGGGAGAAAGTATGTATGTGAGGTGCAGAAAGTATATTCGTGGTGAAGAACCAGGGAGAGCAGATCAATCTAGTCTACATAGGTGACGAAGAGGGAGCTTTCATCGGGAGTGGGCAGAGGGGTCAGATCCCTGCACAGAGCGCGAGAACGAGGAGTAGGGGTGCAGGGGGCAGCTATTTCAGATGTTAGCATCGACAACGAACCAAATGTATGCAGCCTTCCGGCCACAATTCAGTCACACCTTGCATGCACTCAAGCTCTGCCACAGCAGCTTTTGCGCGCGCGCCTAGGCCCAGCCACTGCGCCTTTGTCTGCACGCGCAGCACCTTCTTCTTCCCCTCGTTCGAAAGCTTTTCGACCAAAGCGGGACGAAGACGATGGCAGCGAGAGTCGTGCGGCGCATTCTTCTTCGCCAGTTCGGCGGCAGCAGCATACTCGGCCCGCATCTCTACACATTATCACATCAGTAAGGTCACTTCACAAACACTCATAATCTAGAAGGGAGCCAACCCTCAGCCCTTGCAGCCAGCTCCTCCTCTGTCCGGGTTCTGGGGCGCGGAGGCAGCGGGCTACTGGTGGGCATGAGCTCCAGCGCAGCAAACATCTCCTCGATCTCGCGAGAAGTGCGGCGGGGCTGGTGGGCGGCAGCAGGGGGCGACGAGTCGGTCTTCTTCTCGACCCGAGCTTTGCGCTCAGCGCACTTCTTCGACTTGGACTTCTTCTTCTTCTCTATACACGTATATCACGTCAGCATGCAAACCTTCTGGGTATCCTGAGCAAGTGTCCAACCCTTGCCCGGCGTCTTGACCAGCTGGTCCACGTCCCTCAGCGTGGGCGGGGGCGGCAGAGGGCTCGACGAGGCTAGCAACTCGGCGAGACGCATGGCCTCGCGGTCAGCCCGCGACATTCTTCGAGGTTGCTGCAAAAGCAGCGATGCGGGCGGGGCGAGGCCGCTGCGGCGCATTCGGCGGTGGTGAGACGGTGCTGCCGGCGCGTCGTCACGGGCGGCGGGCCAGAGGGGGACAACTTTGTATCTAGGGGGCATGGTGGCTCTGGAGGAGGAGACTACGGGCAAAGTTTACAAGTTGTGAGCGCGAAAAGCCACAACTTGGCACAAAGACGTGGTAGATGCTCCGCGACGATGACGCGCTCAGGGACTCGAAACATGGGGTCGCTTGGCGCTACCGTGTCTCGGCAGGCAGTGCGCAACATCACTGAATGCGCAGAACGCTGTTACGATCCCACGTCTCACGATAGGACAACGGGCAATAAGTAACCACCAACCAAACACGGAAGCCTGGGAGGAGGCGCAGCACGACAAGGCCGCCCGGCTGGCGCCTAATGGGTTCAGGCAGACTCACATGACGAGCTCGTCAACAAGCATGACGCAATGCTCGTCAACAAGGCGCAATCCCCAGGACGCATGTCATCTGGCCATAGGATTTCGGCGACTGGCCACTTAGTAGCTGATTAATCTCGCTTAATCCATTTTAGCCTATCTAGGTCTGATGCATATAAGTGAAGCGTGTTAAGAACATGTTAAGAACGTGTTTAGAACATGTTTGGAAAGTATTCAGATCATCTAGAGTATTCTATATCTTTCTTAAGTATTATCTATGCCTACTATGTAGCTTAGGTAAGGTTACTTAGCTAATATATATTATATAAAGCTACATATAGTATAGTAATCTTAGGTACAGCTATATAATTAGTTGTTCTACTTAAGCATGTTCTAAACACGTTCAAAATACTTTTTAGAGTTTACCTATTATAGCTGCACTTGGCCATAGACCTATGCACTAATCCTTGCATTTCTATGACCACCTGCCTATCTAGGTTAGTATATGGATGCCCCACAAAATCCTATGGCCGGATGTTGTGAGTCCTCGCGCAATCCATCCGGATAGGCCAGGACCAAATCCGCTTGTCAACAAGCAGATCTTGTGGACTGTATATAAGCAAGTAGGAACACAACCCTTATGGTTCGTGTTCAACCTTGTCAATCAACTTTGTTATTGGAATCTCACTTGCTCTCAAGCCAGACAGTATACTCTGTACTACTCATTGCTCCCGAGTTAATCAGTTCCATCTCTCCCTTGTGCAGCATTTTGAATGGTACAGGCATCTTTCGCCAGCGAATGGCGCCGTCACGAGCGGTGTGCGACATGGCACAAAGGCGTTGTGAGCCAGGACCCGTAGATGAAAGGAATTCGATGTGTGCTTCAATCCGAATACAGCTTGGTAAGACCTTTAACCCTAACTATGAAGTTCTCTTTGAAAGAGCCTGCCGGTCCAGCCACGACTATAGTCATCTATAACTATAACGGATGGGACAACAACAACATTCAGCATGTCCATGGTATAGGTGCGGGAGCTGAAGCCGTGTAACAAGGTAAGTCGTTGCTAGACAAGGTATCGAATCAACGGAATCGGGTGCTGATAGTACGTAGGATTGCCAGGGGCGCACAGAATACCATCGATATGGCCTAACAGACTTGGTTGTGGTCATATCGTGAATCATGGTTTAAGGCGTTTGTAGGCGAGTCTACTGCTGGCGACGACTGCGGTAACGTTTAGGCTTATGACAGGTACAAAGAATACACAGACAGCTTTGAATACCAATGTCACAACTTAGCCTAGCACGGCTTTGGGGTGTGCTGAAGCTGTTTCAACAAGTAATCACTTTTTGATGACATATCCTGGGAAGTACTGCTCAGCCGCTTATCCTTGATCACAGAGCTACAATTGCAATCCTTCCTTAAGACATACAGAGTGTTCTATGATTCAATACTCGTGTTGTCATTGAGGTCTGCTTGAAGCTGCAGCTGCATTGGGTCCGGTGACAGAGTGAGATGAATGCTGGCGTTTAATAATGACAAGCGCGGAGTGAGCTTACACAAGACGAGTTTCGGAACATCACGAAATAGTCGCAGCTTCACCCAAATGACTGGTGGTGCCTGATCGACCCTGAGTGTTGCAGATTGTTTGTTGTTTGGCGGTCGTCGCTGCCTCTAAGTTATTTAAACGCCGATGGCTGACTAAACAGCAACAGCCCCCACCCCTTTGCCGCGGGCATAGTCAGGTCAGTCAGGTCAAGCGTATACGGCACCATGCTTATAAATCCGTTTGACTGTTCCAGTTTACGAACATGTTCGAAGGAAAGCCAGTGCATCTCGAATTGAAGGAAACGTCAACAGTATCAGTGTTTCTGGTACGAATCCATGCGACAGAGGCCTTGCGCCTGCAACGACCCACCGATATATTCAAAGGTCTCCATTGTTTCGCAGGGAGCGTATGTTGCATGTTACGGTATGAGCAGTGCGCATGCTTTGATGTTGTCATAAGCTTTGTAATGCAACAGGAAAGGGTACTCGGTGAGTCGCTTTGTCGGTGTTGCATTGCCCCGCCAGCTGAAAAACGTAAGGCTCGGGTTTCTCATTATACCATACAGCCCAACTATAAGAACATTTGTAAAGTACACCCACCTCCAAGCAACTATAACTCACACAATCGGCCTTTCACTATTTATACAGCTTCACGATTCTTCGAACAAATCCAATGTCGAAAGCACTACTAATCACCGGCGCTACTGGCAAGCAAGGCGGATCAGTCATCAACGCCTTGCTCAAAGCAAATGCCGATTTAGAGATCCTCGCACTCACCCGAGACGCACAATCTGCATCTGCACAAAAGCTTCAATCCAGATCGCCAAAGATTAAGCTTATAACTGGCGATCTCGACGCTGTGGACGACGTCTTCCAGAAAGCCAAACAAGCTTCCAAGCTCCCAATCTGGGGTGTCTTCAGTGTACAAGTTAGTATCTCAACGCAATTTGGACAAGTATTTGCTAAGTGGCTTCACAAGGTGGCAATTGGGAACGGAGCAAGCCCGCAAACAGAAGAAAGGCAGGGTAAAGCCTTGATCGATGCATCCATCAAGAACGGCGTCAAGCACTTCGTCTATTCCTCTGTCGACCGCGGCGGCCCCCGCTCAGATAACGATGCAACACCCGTCCCGCATTTCGCCAGTAAACACCGGATTGAGCAGTATCTTTTCAGTAAAGTCACAGAGTCGAATAGCGAGATGGCCTGGACGATCCTGCGCCCCGTTGCATTCTTCGAGAATCTGGTCCCCGGCTTCCTGGGGAAGGTGTTTTCGACAAGTTGGGAGATGACCCTAAAGAAAGAGCAGACGCTGCAGCTCGTCGCAATAAGTGACATTGGATTCTTCGCCGCCGAGGCCTTTGCAAAGCCTGATGAATACAAAGGCCGGAAGATCTCACTCGCAGGTGACGAACTCACGTACACGCAATTCAAGACCATCTTTGCGGAGAAGACGGGCCAGAGCCTGCCAACTACCTTCAGGTTCCTTGCAGGTGCTATCAATACAATGATCAAGGATCTGGGGTATATGTTTAAATGGTTCAGAGATGTGGGTTTTGGTGTCGATATCCCTGTGTTGAAACAGATGAACCCTGAGTTGAAGGACTTTGCGACGTGGTTGGAGACTGAGAGTCAATTTGAGACGCGCTGATAGCGCGATAACAGTGCGGATGTAATTGTTTACTTGGGCGTTTTGTAGGAGATAGACAATATAGATTCTAATTAGGACGAAGATGACACGCATCGTGAGATGGGTTGGTGAGCCTGTGTCAATTAATGATGGCTGTTGGCCTGAGATATGCCAAAATGGTCCATTCAAGTCGTGCGGAGGAAAGTTGAGGATAAGGTATTTTCTTCATGATGCTATTATACGTGGCATGGCTGACACCAGTTTCCATTGTACCTTTGCCTACCGACCGATCCAGTTTCTTAAAAAAACAATTTTCAAGCTCCCGATAGAGAGATCTGCGAGCCTGTAATCAAGATCGTGCAGTGATGTGCGCCAAGGTTTGCCTGTCAACAGATATATTGAGCGATATGCGTTAGCCTCCCTTTTCCTTCATCGCCGCATCGAACACCTTGAAAGTGCATGTACCTATTATCATCTTGAATGGACAGTCCCGTTCAAGGCCTCTCCAGTATATCCTTCTTGAGATCAACTCAATCGTTCAGTAGCACTCTGCACCCGCATCTTGCCCTTCTTCTTGCTCGACGTTGGCTCTGTATGTCCCGTGATTTGTTGCTGTGAAGGGGCGATGAAAATTGCATCGGTATGTGACTGGCCGCCTGTCGTGTCTCCATGTGAGTGTGGAGGCTGAACATCGCCCAGCCTCTCCTGGGACAGTTCTGTTGAGAGGATAGTCGAGAAGTACGAGCCTGACGGAGAAGATCCGTGAGGACTCGATGGACCGGATTGACAAGATGGACTGGGTGGAGATGATGTCTGCATTTGCTTAGACGAATATGAATGTTGTCTCTGTAAAGGCTGTGCACTTTGTAAAGGCGAAGAGGTGGCTGTTGGCGGCGCTGTTCGAAGTGGAGACGGGTTGGCTGAGGCTAGAGAATCGTGGGTATGTGCTGCTAAGAACGTTGTATGTCCAGTCTTCGACGAACCCTGTCCGTGGCGCTCGGCTGGTTGACGTCAGTCGAGAGTGTAGAACTGAGGAAGCGTACTTACCCGCTGCTTTGAAGATGTGCTCCGGCTGTCCATATCGTCTCGCAGCCCACAGGGCTGGGTTCGCGTCTCGCTCGGCAACCTCTTCAGGCGTAAGGTGAGTGGCGTCGAGGAGGAAAGGAAGGGTAGCGACATGGTTGTAGGTCATTTTCAGTTTGTATGATCCAGCTATGTTGAGGGTGACCTTCCTCATTGACCTGGGTTGTCAGGCATATATGCATTTTCCCGAATCTTGCAATACAAAGTGGGAAGTTGATAGAAATGCCTCCGGACCTGCAGGGGTGGCAACACAGCATAGGAATAAATTTTGCAAGCTCGAATAGAAGTGTTTTCTGCTTGATGGCAGACGCAACGGACCGAAAGACGGAGCAATAGATGCGTGCCATTGGCGTTCAGCATGCCGGTGCTAGGTGCGCCCGTGCCGACATCGAGATCTGTGCTAGGGGTTTGCGCAAAGGATGATGTGAGGGAACAGCCTTCTTGATCGGAACTCGAGAGTTAACATGCGCCATCCCGCGTCTGGTACCGGTGATGAGGCGAAGGGCACGTACATTGGACGCAGGGCGTGGGGTTGTCGGAACACAAACCTTCTATTGCTCGTCCACCTGGTTGAAGAAAATGAATGGAACTCGTTCCGACAATCCAACAATGTTCGCATGGTTTGAACCGCGCAAATGTACATGCTCTGCTCCGCAGAACCAGCGTAACCATCAGCGCTGCGGAACACTGTCCGCGTAGATGCTGCGCTCTCATTGGTCAGCTCGTTAGACATCACCCGTGCTTCCGCACAGTAGATATTCTCCCTTCAATAGTACTACAATCGACAGTTCACATCGCACCTCTTATCAAACACCAATCGGGAACTCGAAAATGAATCGAGGCCTCGCGATCATGCGCTATCAGCCTTTGAACGGTGGGTCGCCAGTAAGGGCCGGCCCGCAACGGCTGACTGCATGACAGGGTTGTAGGGTGTCAACCTCAGCCTCATCTTCGACGCTCAAAGCTTCCTCATCGTTGCCTGCAATTGGCAGCAGCTTATGGTGTTGCGGAACTGGAAAACCAAAGCCTATTGTGAATACTGCGCGGGGACGTGATGTCGAACCACAGTTCGGGGTATTCGGTGGATGCTGACAAAACGAGCGATTGCAGATTGGAGGCAAAGGCGGATTGAAGAGTGTTCAAGTTCTCGAATGAACCTGATGGGTAGAGTAGAACCTGGCGCCTCGAAGGATCAAGACTTATCGTGCTACAGCCAGCAAGTGGAGCGTCTGCATCGCGGGCAAAAATCATAGCCTCCCGACAGGCGGCGGCGATTACCGTAATCGACGGGTCAATGCACGCGTCGGGTCAATGCACGCGCATCCAACATATCAACACCACAAAAATGAAGCTGTAGAGCCACACACAATGGCAATTATCACAAGATTTCTTGGTGGAGTGTTCTATAGGCCTACGCGACAATGTTCCTAGCTTCAAATTAATACTTTTGTGTTGCAAGGTGGCCACTGCAGGTGGTGTGAGTGCAAGGTACAGGTGCAGGCTCCTCCGCAACAACACTACGCACATCACCTGCAGAATGCCTTAGTTTCTTATGAGGCTTTGCAGGAGGCTTCTGTGAAGCTTTGCGCTTGCCTAATTGGGATAATAGTAGAGCTCTTGCGGCAGTGTGTTCCTCTTTCTTGCGCTTCGTTTCAGCAGCCTTTTCCTCACAAATGGGCTTGTTCCTTGCAATGCGCTCTACTCACACTACATGCCTGTCCTCCTTCTCCCTCTCCTCTTGGAGCTTCTTGTTAGCCTGTTCTTGCTTATCCTTAACTCTCTGTGCAACTTCTTCTAGTTTAGTGTGCTTGTTGACCTTCCTGCAATAATGAGCTTCTCTTACTTTGCAAGGGGAGTAGAGCACAGCTGCGCTGCGGTACTCCTTCTGCTGCTGCAAGTCAAGGGTTACTCTAGCCTTCTTAGAGGGCTTTTGCTGCAAAACTGCTGCCCAGAGCCCTTTGATTTCTGCAGTAAGTAGGTTAATTTGAGCAGCCATGTGGTGGAGCAAGCGCTTCAGCTTCTTTACACCTTCTGCAGCCAGGTCCTTCACCAAACTGTCAAAAAGTTGGTCAGCTTCTTGCCACTGACTTCCATCAAATGGAGATGGAGAATGAGGCATCTTGCTCACTTGTTTTGTCCAGCGATCAAGTACAGGAGAAGGATCCAGTGGGTGTATGCTGTAACGACTCTGCACACAGCAAGGCTGTGGGGCAGACTAGCTTACAGCAGCTAGAGGCAAAGCTGGCTGGCTGGCACTATATATATTATACTACACAAAGAATACTTGCTTAAGTATTTTTGTGCTTACCCTTTGGTATAACTTGGAGATGTCACTGTTACAATTTGTGCCTTAAGCAAAGCTTGTAGACACTAGTCAATTGGTTCTCAGGGATGAGCAGAGGTACAGAAAGCCATAGGGATTGACAGTCACTGAAGCAAAGCTTGGGTGGTCAAGGGTAGACTATCTGGGCGGGTTGTAATAACCTTTGTAATAGTCAGGTAGTTGTCTAGTCAAAGACCGTGGTGACTGGTTGCAATGAGTAGTACAGAGTATACTGCCTTGCTTGAGAGCAAGTGAGATTCCAATAACAATTTGCCTTGTAGCTCACGCTCCTGTTGTGGGTTGAGTTTGCAGCATTGCAAGTCTGCCTCTGCATGTGGGATATGACGGTTTTCATAATACCTTGGACATCATGTGACACGATGAGATGAGGCCACACACGCTGGCACACAACGCAAAGTCTTTTAGAGCTGCTGCAAGGTATACAGAAGGTGCAAAGTAGTATAAGAGATCTATCTGTACCCTTTTTCTAAGTTTGTCCCCTATGTTGGGGTTTGCAGAGGGGCAGCAATTTGATGAGGGCAAGGTTTTGGCAGATATACTTATAAATACGCGTGCAGTACGAGACCTACGCATGGGCATCCATTGATTGGTTGGATCAGCTGATGTCCAAGGTATTATGAAAAATCACCCATAGTAACGCCTCGATCATTGCGCAACAACATGAACCGCAGGAACCCCATCTGATCAGCGAGTTTTTGGTAGCAGGTCTGTTTGCCAGGTGCAGCTGCACGTGCTGTTTCAAGCGCATTAAAAACAGACATGATTTGGTGGAGTTATGGTGTTGAGGAAATATGTGTGTTATGGTGATCGCGTGCATTGAGCCGACGCGTGCACTGAGCTGACGCGTGCATTGAGCCGACGCGTGCATTGACCCGTCGATCACGGTATCTTGGTGTTCAGGTGACATGACTGTCGTGATTGTCGTGCAGCAGCCGTGATGATTGGTTTGTGGCATGAACAGCTGAACCTCGAGGGTTTGCGCGCAGAATGTGGTAGCCTGTAAGTCTTGTTGGAATGGCGGTGAGGCTTTGGGTGTGCTGCTGTACACAACATATGCCATACATGGTTGCTGCAATAGTGTTTCACGCTTTAGAGGATGCCACGCCTCTCCACCTCTTGTTGTGGCCATTCACAGTTCTTATTTCTGTACGAGATTGCTTTTTATATCGTCTCAAGTGATGTTGGAAGCAGTGCTGCGGCCAGTTGTCGCTGATTTCCGAGATGCGTTGCAGCAAGGCTGCGTTGTTTTCGTACGCTTGTCGTACAAGCGGGGCTGGGAATTCGCTTCCATACTCTGACTCCCTGCGCAGTAACGAGATCTTCGAGTGGAGAGTGGTGTGACTTGTAAGCAGAGTGCATACCTGGGATTGGAAGATATCGGCCGTGGTTGTGCTGAGAACGCAGTGTAATGAATACAGTCGTTTGCGTCTGTCTAGAGCCTCGTTGCGAAAGGCAGTGAAGTGGGTATGTTGTATTGAGACTGAGAAGGGTAGAGAGACAAATCGAGTGCACGGCGGCAGATGACATCGATATAAAAACGAAAGACGGAGAGCCCATTTGGTCGGTACGTATGGCAGTCATAGACACCGAACGGCCCTTTTCGGGGGTGGTCCGTATGGAACAAGATGTTTTTCGTGCTGCCGTATCCAGTCAAAGCTCAAGCTTATGCGCCTGTCGGACCTTATCGGCCACTTCACTGCTTCCCCGAAATCACGAACCCCAGCTTCGATCGCTGCGGAGTTTCAATCCTTTTTGACGCCACAAGGAAAGCCTTCCTTGATAAGCTTGTATATCTAGTCGCTCTGCTTAAGCTTCAAGTTGTCGAACTGACAGTTTTCGTCTGGGTTGTAGCAATCTTGGTTCTCTGAGTGAGGTTCATGTCATTGAGGATCATCTCACCAATCTCAAGCGCAAACTCCTCGAAGTTGAGACCAAAGGTCTGACCTCCGAGTACAACAAAGCCGTCAAAATCTGAAGCAGCTGTTATGATGAAAATTCACTAAAGTATAATAGAAGCCGCTGGAGCGATCTCATTATCTTGAATCTTAAAGTCAGTATCCGGTTCGATAGCATGGTATGTTGTGATCCACTTACAAGGATCATGGCCAGAGTTGGCAACAAACGAATCAAGTCAAATCAAGTCCTCTTCACGGAGCACCATCTGATCTGTGTCAGCGTGCACGTCCCAATATTAGGGCCGTTCACAAGACTTGATTTGACTTGATTAGTCTGTTGACAACTCTGATCATGGCTGTCCCAAACAAGCAGAGTTTGACTAGTATGTGACTCTGTCGAGACTCGTTACCGGGGAGGCCGCCTCAATCTTCTAATCACTTGGCGCATGCAAAGAAATCGTCTTATCCACAGGTTCCAGAGTATTAGTCGTCATTGAGCGTCCCTGATATTGGCTGATCATAATCGCAGCTGCCGATTTTCAAGAGAAGGCGACATAATTGAGATGGAATGAGCACTGCAAAATCACTCGTGTCATACTTGTGGTGCCAATCTTCTCGCTTACCTCTCGCTCAGTGGACCTTAAGAATTTGCATCACCACATTCCGCCTTGGTTAGAGAACTGTGCCTTGACACGGCTTGCTGAATGTGGTATCGGTGACTTGCACAAATTGCTGACCCCCCTTGATAGTTGCAACAATGATGAAATATAGCTCTTTGGCCCAAAAAACAGCTTTGTGGGTAGATGACATCATGGTTTCCAGACCGAGGGGAGTGAGCAACTTGTGAAAGTCATCATATAGCAAACATCTCCCTCATGTTTGTTGCTGTGAGTCAAGATTCGTCTATCTTATTTATGTTGGCATATAATTTGCTGAAGGTCTTCGAAAGCAGATTCTTTCGGCCGCCCCGCAACACAAGAGACTTGTAAGCTAGTTTTGGCCTCATGGTGTCTATTCATATCTCGTCTTCAGCTGCCTCAATACCACTGCTGTTATATATGTATTTAATCGCGAAATATATATCGACCAATGAAATCTCTTCCCGCTGTTTTAGCGGAAATCTTCGATAGTATAGTGGTCAGTATTTCTGCTTGTCATTCACAGCTCGCAGGAGGCCGGGGTTCGATTCCCCGTCGGAGAGATGTAAATTTTTTGCTTGAACATGGAGCGAATACCAGTTCCCAGTTCTCTTGAGGTGCTTGGCCAACCCCGTTGGTATTCTTATCAATCTTGGCCAAAACTCAAGACATTGACTTGTCACCACATCAGCCCCAGCTACAATGATGGCAACAATGTCCTCTTCAAGCTACACGCGCCCAACACTGATGACAATGGGCAGCCTGGCTTCTTTGCCCAACTTGCAATCGATGCCTGCGCCGTAATTGCGGAAGACTATGCCGACCAAGGCTGGCTGTTGCTGTCGCGGGACGGGCAGCGCCCCAATCAACCCACCAGCACGCTGCGCCAACGTAGCTACTATTTCCACCTCAAGGCCGCCGATGTTCTGTATGCCAACGTCCCTAACTTCCGTCAGTGGAGTTACCCACACGACCGCCTTACCCCACACCGGCAACAGCTGGCTCGCGACTTGAACACCGTCCCGTCTAGCATCACACTTACACCCTCTAACCTGACGAGCGCCCTGGTCATCTGCAACGGCTCGTGTGGCCTCAGCGGATGCTGCGAGCAGCTGCAGATTGCACGTGTCGTACCCCAGTCCGAACTGGACTGGTGGAGGGCCAACGACATGTCGTGATACAACACGGGCTTGGCAGCCACGCTCGATGACACCGCGAACGCGCTACTCTTGCGCGCCGACCTGCACATCGCCTTTGACAAGCCCCTTGTTGCTTCGGTCCCAAGCCAGCCACCGATGGCAACATGCGACTCGATGCGCATTTGCTTGAACACTTGCCCGAGCTCGAGCACCTCTACCACAACCGCCAGCTGCACCCCACCGCAGTCGGCGTCGACACGCTGTACGCGCGCTTTGCATGGTCCGTCTTCACGCTGCTCAATGCATTCCTTAAGTGTAGAATTGACCGGTGTCTCGCCTTGCGTACTTTTGGTGCGCGCTTAGCAGATGCGCGGGGCTTCGTTCCTGCCGTTAATTGCAAACTTTTCTCAACCGCTGCGACAAGAAACGTTCCCAAAGCCCGAAGAGGCGCAAGCCAGAACGTGACATTGTGACTGAGCTTGAGAAACCCGCAGAGACTCTCACTGGAATCAGCCAAAAGCGCAGATTCACTGCACAAGCTGAGAACACCTTGCTAGATTCCACTTCAGCCAAGCGCGCCTGCTGGGACCCTTCGCTCTCCGTTTCGACATCCAAAGACTCGTCCTCATCCTCACCTCCAACATCCACACATCCGCCCACAGACTTATCCCTCTCGCCGTTGGGTCACTGGCCATTCCCCTCACCACTGGCTCCGTCGCGTGCGCAAACTTGGCTTGAAACCAAACACCAGCGTTCGGATCCTGGCGGCATATGGAACAAAGAGCATGACACGACATGTCTGGGATGGCAAGATGTTGGCAAGCGACAAAGTTGGACGGTGGTTTAAGGCCTACGGGATCGAGATCAGGGACACGTGATCCTGAATGTGAGGCTATCAATGATGTTGAAGATATGGCGGAGGGAGTGCACTCTGAGTGTTGAATCGTGTTTTTGGACTGAGCTAGGAAGAGTGGATGCGTGGCCAGCTTTTGCTTTAAACAGATCTGCGTTTTTGTGTTGCATCAGTAAGATACCCCAAGCAGCGTCAACAACAACTTGCTCCTATTGTTAAATGATAATCAACCGAGCTCACTTTTCAGCCGCCCTTTCACTTCAGTTCACATGATGGACCAGACTACGTGTCGAACAACGACAACAACGATTACACGTTGGGCAAGATCGGAAAACACAATGTTGTCATTGATGTGCTGCCAGACGGAGAGTACGGCATCGCTTCTGCCGCAGGTGTTGCGAGAGACATGCTTCACAGCTTCCCCAACGTCAGGATTGGCTTGATGGTTGGGATAGGCGGCGGAGCGCCAAGCTCAAAGCATGACATTCGCCTAGACGACGTTGTTGTGAGCTCGCCTCGCAATGGGATGGGTGGTGTCTTCCAGTACGACTTCGGCAAAACAACTCATAATCAGAGCTTCTTGACGACCGGATACTTGAATCAGCCGCCTAGTGTTTTACAGACGGCCGTAGCCGGACTCAAGACCCAGTATGAGGGCGACGGCCATCAGATTGAGGAAAGCATCAACACAATATTAGTGAGCAAGAGCAGGCTACGAAAGAAGTACGGGCGGCCAAGTTCAGAGAACGACAAACTGTACAGGTCTTCTGTGGTCCACCCCCAAGACATTGAGGGACCTTGCACAAGCATTTGTAGTGACGATCTCTCGAACTTCATAGTGCGGAAAGAACGGTACGAAGACGAGGATGACCCTGCAATTCACTACGGTCTCATCGCTTCCGCGAACCAGCTCATGAAGGATGCTGTGTTTCGTGATAAGCTATCTAAAGAGAAGGATGTGTTATGTTTTGAGATGGAAGCTGCTGGGCTGATGAATCACTTCCTGTGCCTTATCATCGGTAGCATATGCGATTATTCCGACACTCACAAGAACAACCAGTGGCAAGGCTATGCAGCGATGGTAGCAGCCGCATATGCGACGGACCTTCTCTGCCGGATTGCTCCTGATAAAGTTTAGGCCGAGCAGAAGCTTAGCGGCCTGCTCTCCACTGGTTAGTCAGATCCGCAGCCTTGAGAGAATCAATTGACATCAAGCAAGTCAACGAAAGTGTGCAGGGATTGAGTGACGATGTTAAGGGCGTTCGACTGCAGCAGAGACGCAATCAGATTTACTCATGGCTGTCGCCGCCAGACCCGTCAACAAACTATCACAAAGCATTACAGCAAAGGCAGGAAGGTACCGGACAGTGGCTGCTACACTCACTCATGTTCAAGCAGTGGAACGTCCAGCAGAATTCTTTCTTGTGGCTGCATGGTATCCCGGGATGCGGAAAGATAGTTCTAAGCTCTACCGTTGTACAACATCTTGAATCGAGCAATCCTGCTCTGATCTTGTTGTACTTCTACTTCGACTTCAACGACACCAGCAAGCAGACGCTTAAGAATATGGTTACTTCACTTGTCAGCCAGCTTTACTCTAAACGTGAAACTGCTCGAGGATTCTTAGACGCATTTTGCTCTTCACACAGCGACGGGCGTCATCAGCTGAGTTGTGAATCACTGTGAAACGCCTTCGCACAAATGGTTGAACAAACCAAAGAGGTCTGGATCGTTTTAGATGCTCTTGATGAATGCCGTACGCGATTAGGGCCATCCATGGTAGGACTTCTCAAGTGGGTAAGCTAGCTCCTTGATGGGAAAGAAAGGAACATCCACCTTCTGGTGACAAGTCGGCCTGAGCAAGACATAACTGCGGATTTGAGTAGCACGGCATCCAGCGAGGAGAGCATCCTACCTAGAGCTATATACGTGTCAAAGTCAGGGAAGGCGAAGGCTTGAGGCGTTGGCAGCACTCCGACGAGATACAAAACAAGATCGAGACGGCTCTTGTGCACAGCGTGTCCAACGAGACGTATTACGGTACGGTTGACCCCTATAGCCGTTATTACGGACGGATTTTTGGTGTCGTTACGTATGTACGGCTCACAAAGCGTCAGATTACGGACAGTAACAGTAATACGGACAGTAAATTTCCTATTTAGGCTAGTTAGTGAAGTTAAGTGAATTGAACAATCGAGTTGCTGTCCCTGACTTCTTCATTACATGGGTACACAATTGGAGGAGTGGACACTCAACTACGCAATTCTTAAGCCAATTCTTCTGCAGTTGAAGTGCCTCAATCGTTGTTGGCGACAGTAAGTTTCAATTGTTAGAGATCGTGCGGCCAGCTGTACTAAAGCAGCGCTCACATTCACAGCTCGTAGATGGGATGGATAGAAAGTCGACAGCCATCTTGAATAGTGTGGGATACCTGTTACGGCCAATTTTGAGCTACCAACGCCACGGGTCACCCATCAACTCCTGATCATCATCGTCTTGATTGAGGTCCTCGTTGGGATTGTCGATATAATTGGCCAGTTTGTTCTCACGCTTCCGATGCTTGGACCCATGGTTGCCGTGATAGTAACCCAGGTCAACCTGCATGACTGCTGCAAGTGGGTAGTTAGCATAACTGACTGGAAGCTTACGCTGTTGGTGTTGTTGTTTGACTTCTATCTCATCCTTGTGGCTATCAGAGGCGGCAGCATACTGTTCAAACGTCTTGTTGAGAGAACATTTGGCTTTCTTGTGCCAATCGTCAAACTCACGCCATGTGGATTTGAACCAATCAAGGCGTAACATGGGGTGGAGAGCTGTGGCGACGGTGTAGTAGCTGTACTTGGGGTCAAGTATCAACTTTTCCCAGTACGTGTTGAGCTTCTGGAGGCCGAGTTTGACGGCAGTTGCAAAGTAGCTATCGTCTTCATGGTCGAACTTACTGATGCATGCCTCATAGTGCTGCCAAAGTGCTTGAAGATTGACAATAGTCTGCCACAACAAGCCAAAGCCTGACACGCTGTTGTTACCCTCCAATGCTTTGCAAAGGTCGTACGGCACTTTAAGAAACTTGATAAGTTCGTCAACTTTGAGCCAATCGTTGTCCAATAACGCGTCAAGCACAGGGTTGTAGTGTTGACCTGCATCGTCACCACCAGCAAACTCCTTATCGATCTTGGCTTGTTGCTTGTACTTGTGTTGAACCACTACAATTGACTTACGTAGCTCCTGGCAACGGAGAAGCATGATATAAACTGAGTGCCAGCGTACTATGCCATCTTGGAGTAGTTGAAGTTTGACAAACTTCGATGGAGGGTCTTCGTTGGTGAGGTTGGTGAAGATCAATAAGAACAGCTCACAGCGCTTAGGGGAGCAACAAACAGCTTGTACAAAGTTGTGAAATTTGCCAATGACGCCGTGTTGCCAATATAGTTGAAACTGCTCCATTGGAGCTGCCTGGGCAAGCTATTGTTCAAAGTTGGAGACACCAGCTCCATATACTGAGGCCTTGACAATGTGGTTGATAATGTGACCCGCACAGCGGATTTGGTGCTTGGTCCCAAGGCGGAGGATACTAGACTGCTTGTTGAGGTGTTGGATGAGTTTGTTGTCATTATTTGTAGCATTGTCGCCTACAAAACAGTTGAACTTTGACTCAAAGTTGTACTCCTGGATAACTTTGAGTATTGCTGAAGCCTGCGCACAAGCCGTGTGGTCACCAACAAGGTTCTTGAAACCAATCAAGAGGTCTCATTATGTCAGAGTTCAGTGAAGAACTGTACGCAAAGGGAAGAATTTGAAGATTGTACTGGGGTTGTATTGGGTGAAGCTACAAACAGTATATATAGGTGAGTAGCTGTAAACAACGCTAGTGTGACGTGGCAGTCACTCTCATTGAGGTGAGGTACAACAGGCAGGAGCATCCCAAACCGTGACACATTGGTTGTAATCGGCATCAACAAAGTGAGCAACAACACCCAAGAAGCTGTAATGATTGGAGGAAGTCCACACATCAACGCTTATAGCAATCTTGCCAGGAGCCAATTGGATAAGTTGCCGCACCTCAGATTTACGAGTTTCTTGGTGCTTCTTCATATAAGATGATAGCATTGTTGCTGAGTCAGGTAAGGCGTTGAGTAGATTTGTTTGATTCCATGTCAATAGACCTCGGCTTGCTGGGCATGTAGCATCTCGGAAGCTCAAATCTCTCATAATCGTCCAATCAATGACTGAGTCTTGAAACTGCTGCTCCTCTCAACAAACAGGACTACGCAACGATACGAGAGGAGCCGAGGAACTGTAGTATCGATTGGCCCGAGAAGTGGGGCCGCGTCGGCGATACTCAGTATGATCATCACTCTCAGTTGAGCAACTCAAGCGACCCGAGCAGTGAGGCCGCGTTGGCGATACTCAGCACGGTCAGTATACTCAGTACAAGCAGTGTACTCGGTACGAGCAGTATACTCGGCACGAGCAGTATACTCAGCACGATCAGTATACTCAGTACTGAGCGATCTGAGCAATCATCTGCTCATGTATATGGCAAGTAGACACGCTGCCCTTATGGCATCGTGTTCAACCTCGTCAATCAACTTTGTTATTGGAATCTCACTCGCTCTCGAGCCAGACAGTATAATCTGTACTACTCATTGCCACAGTCGTCACGGCCTCCGGCTAGACGGCTATTACCTCAACTATTACGAAGGCTACTACCGCCTCGCCCTGATAGTCTACCCCTGACCACCCGAGCCTTGCTTAGGTGACTGTCAAACCCCTACGGACCCCCTGTACCTCCGCTCATCCCCGAGAACCAATCGAATAGTGTCTACAAGCTTTGCTTAAGGCACGAATCGCAACAGGGCCATGGTGTATTGGTGAAGGTGTTTCTTCTTGTTGAAGGGTGCTGCAGGACAATCGGGAGTTGAACAAGTATCTCTCCATCTTTGCGCGTCAGTTAAGGACTTCTAGATTAGGTTTAGGAAGGGAAAACAAAAGGGTTATATAGGTGGGTTTACTCACAAATCTCCTTTCCAGCCACCTGGATGCCCAGCCATCTCACATAGCGCCGATGTGAGGTCACTGTAGGCAGGCAATCGGACACAGGATGAATTGGGGCTGTCTGGGGCCAAATGGGATGAGATTAGACGAATCCTTGATGATTGAGCCTCAAGGTTCGTGAGGAATATATACAAGTGGCCCATGAGCCTCCGGCCCAGCTCCAGAGTCTGTCCGAGAGCTGGTCGGTACATGTAAGGGGAAATACCCGTGACAGCCGAGTAGTTGAGATAATGTGGATCCAACGCGAGGAGCCCTAAGGACCTTCTCACCAGAGGTGCTTACATATACGGCAGAGCGAGGCAAAAGACCTTCACCACGTACTACTCAGTAGAGGGGCTAGTGATCTTATACCGCGCGGCAGAGCATGCGTCATACCAGGGCCAAGATGCCTTAAAAAGCTCTGGATTTACTCTCCTTTGCCGGGTGTCCACATTATCCTAGCGCTTTGTATATGTGTGGAGGCGTACGGCGGGTATTTTGATCGATTGCACGGGGTCTTGTTTGGTGAGTGGGTGGGGGCGCGGGTGGTTATGGGCGTTGTAGTGTTGTGGGGATGGTTACAAAACAACGTCGTCGACGATTGATGCTAACCAGCTGCCAAGACTCATAAACGAGACGCTATTACATCACATCTTAGGTTGTCGCGATGGCCGGGGGAGCTGTGGTGGAAGCACCTGGTGATGTACCTTGTAGGAGCCGCCACGCTTGATTTGGTATATAATCGTGCTCAAAAAGGTGTTGTACGGACTCAATTAAGGCTTCTGCGTGTCAATACACAAAAAAAATGCGATAATCGCATTGTGGCGTGGTGGGGGAGTAGGTTCTGATACCATTGAGCATGCGTGGGATCAATCAAGTCAAATATTTGCCGAGACTGGATTTGATTTGATGTTTGGTGTTGTGGGACTTGATTTGGGAGATTTTAGAGGTGCTGAAGCTTTCTGTTCCGCGCTCTTCCTGCTACTTCTGTATCTCCTCTCGCAGCCGTAGAGTGGCGTATGCTTCTTCTTCTCTGTATAAGTGACAGGGACACGCCAAAGATCTCCAACAGACAGTACACCCTGTCCTCCTTCAACGTTTTCGTGCACCTGGCCGTCCAGCTCATTCGATCCTAAACACTCAACTCAGTAAGACTTTGTCCCCTTAGTGCTGCGACAGGAATCTTGGTGAACTTGTGGATTTCCCGCTCTAAGAAAACCTTGCTACCCAACCGCTTGCCCCGTGTGGAAAAGAACTCAACGCTGGTCGGCGCTAGAAGCTCTTGCAACGTCCAGCCTCGTGTGAACTATCGGCTCTGTTGCAAGACTTCCTGCTAGGCAACTGGAAGGCTTCAGCGTCGGTGATCTCGTCGGGCACCAAGGCATCCGACAGGTATACATAGCACTCAGATGTAGGTTGGTACCAGCAGAATACGGAGTTGATCGCTGCACTGAGCTTATCGCAGGCATCAACTCAGAAGTACTCGAGGCCGTCCGCTGCGGCTTGCTCCAGTCTTCTCCTTGCTTGTACCGGCCACCAGCTCATTGTGCGACTTCCTGACCTTCTGTCCAGGTATGCGATAGGAAAGCGCACGGGGGAGGGTCGTCGTTGCTGAAAGAATCTAGCTTGAAGCCGCCGCCCGGTCAGCGCTTTAGAAGACGCATCATGGCACCCACATGTTCTTCACAAACATTGACCATCAGAGAGTGGTCCGTCAACAAGACTTGAATTGTTTGTTGCTAGCTCTGGACGTGACCGCTTCTAAATGGCTTCGGACTCATGCTTGTTCTGTAGTCTGGCAGGGATTATCAATCAGCGAGCGAAGCGAGGATCTACTGATCGCCATGCGCCATAGCAGTATGTGGAGGCCAATCTGCAGTAGGCATAGCGTCAAGTCCAGCTCACGGCTGATGCAAGCGGCCGTGAACTAAACGCCACTAGAGCGTTCCGGCGCGCAGGGACGTCACAAGGCTCCGGTTTAGATTGGTGTTGGCGAAATACGAGATGCGAGATACGTAACACCCGACTACAAAGCACTGATATCGGTAAGCTAAAACTGCAGTGATGCGTTTTAAGGTTTTGCAATGCTGCGCACGGTGACGATTGACGACGAAGCCATTTTGTGATAGCCCTTCCTGGATTACATCAACATTTCAAAAGCCTACATCATTTACTCTGCTTGCGACCGCAATCACAGGGCTCCTCGCATACATCTTACTACACAACCTCAATACGATGGAAAAGAAAAGAAGGCCATCGGACTCCTCTGCGTATTTAGGTGGCCAAGAACTCCTGCCATTTGCAAACCGAGAAGATGCAGGAATCCACGAGAAATGGGCACCTGCTGAACTCGCAGCTCATCCGGACCGTCCATCATCTGCCTCATCATCGGGTACATTTGTTGGAGGAAGTCCACAGATCGGAGGTACGGGTCATCTCTATCTAGGTGCATTAGTGATGCGGCCGAGACTAATATCTTCCAGATGACGGACGTGTTAATATCGATCTCAAGTCCAGATTGGCGCGATCGCTTTCAGTGGTATATGGCCCTCCTCGCGACGACACACCGGAGGCCCCGCCGGAGGATTCTGATTTTACGGACAGTCCGGATCCCTACAAGTCTTGGCCGATCAAATTGAACATCGTTATCCAGGTTGTTGGTAGTCGAGGAGACGTCCAGCCCTTTATCGCGCTTGGTCACGAACTTCGCTTGTATGGCCATCGCGTGAGGATAGCAACTCATAATATGTTTGAGGATTTTGTGCGAAATTCCGGCTCCGGACTGGAGTTCTACCCAATTGGCGGCAATCCAGCAGAGTTGATGGCGTACATGGTGAAGAACCCCGGACTTATCCCTAGCCTCAAGAGCGTGCAGGCCGGTGAGATCAAGAGAAAGCGTATGATGGTTAGAGACATGTTGGAAGGATGCTGGAGCTCATGTATTGAGCCAGACACTTTGACGCAAGAGCCTTTTGTGGCAGACGCCATCATTGCAAACCCGCCAAGTTTTGCACATGTTCACTGCGCGCAGGCCTTGGGCATTCCTATCCATTTGATGTTTACTATGCCATGGACAAGCACGAAAGCATTCCCGCACCCACTGGCGAACCTAAAGAATGCAGATGGCGAAGAAGGGCTTGCAAATTACTTATCGTATGGAATTGTTGATTGGCTGACATGGCAAGGGTAAGTTGTCACTCTGAAGCTACCGTGGGTCACCGCCTTGGCAAAACTTCTAAATGCTTACTTCAATCATAGGCTTGGTGATGTCATCAACGATTGGCGGGATACACTTGATTTGGAGCACGTAGCCATGTTTGATGGGCCTTGTCTTGCAGACACGCTCAAGATTTCCTTTACGTACTGTTGGTCGCCAGCCCTCGTACCAAAACCGGCAGACTGGCCGCCATACGTCGACGTGTGTGGGTTTTTCTTTCGAGATCCTCCTCACTACGAACCACCACCTGAAATTCGATCATTCATTGAAAGCGGACCGCCTCCAGTATACATTGGATTCGGCAGCATCGTACTTGAAGATCCACAGAGGATTACTTCCGCAATTCTGGGCGCTGTACAAGCTAATAGGTTCCGTGCTATTGTCTCCAAAGGCTGGTCGAATTTGGGTGAGCACGGAGAATCCCACAAAGACGTAATCTTTATTGGGGACTGTCCTCACGAATGGTTGTTCCAGCATGTGACCGCCGTGGTACATCATGGTGGTGCTGGCACTACTGCATGTGGTTTGAAGAACGGCAGGCCGACTACCATTGTACCTTTCTTTGGAGAGTAAGTTACCTGAATGAACTCTCTGACTTATTTGCACGTACTAACCCACTGTCAGTCAGCCATTCTGGGGTAGAATGGTCGCTGCAGCAGGTGCTGGTCCTATGCCTATTCCCCAACGGCAATTGACTACGGAAAGCCTCTCTGAAGCAGTGAAGTTCTGTCTTTCTGACGAGGTGGTGAGAGCGGCTGCGGCCATCGCCGAGCGAATGAAATCTGAGGTGGGTGTCGAAGCTGCAGCAAAGTCCTTCCACCGGAATCTACCAATCAAGAAAATGCTTTGCGATGTAGTTCCACACCTGCCAGCAGCATTCTACTATCACAAGGGGAACAATATGATCAAGCTATCATCCTTTGCTGCAGAAATTGTGTTTCCAAAGGCACGGAAGGATATAAAGTACCTGAAGTTGTACGTTCCACAGTCATTATGCAAATGCTTGACAATCCACCTTTGAAGTATAGCACTGAAAAGCATGCAGATACGAGAGCAACCCTATCAACATCGAAACCCGCCGGTGGGACCCCATCTCCGGCGGGGCGTCTGCGGTACTTAGTACCGCAGTCGACCTCACGTCAGGCGTAACGGGGTTATTCACCAAGCCAATCACCGAGTATCGGGACGATCGCGACAGACGTGCTTACGAAGAATCAAACGCAGAATCATCAAAAGCCGCCAACACCAAGAACAATCCAACAAAGTCCAACTCTGACAGCGCAAGTGTCATGACGTCCGCAAGTGGCACAAAGAAGCGAGAACCCATATCTGCAGGTCGGCTGGCAGGTGCCTCCGGCATGAGCATCGCGATGGCTGCCCCAAAGGCCTTGAAAGGCATGACTGTTGATATCCCGCTCGCTCTAACTGAAGGGCTTAAACACGTGCCCAGTCACTACGGCGACATCCCTCGTAACCACGGCCCAGTAACCGGTTTCAAGAGCGGCGCAGCTGTGGCCGGCAAAACTTTCGCATGGGGATTCATAGATGGTATTAGTGATGTCGTTGTAAAGCCCTACCAAGGCGCTCAGAAGGAGGGTGCGAAGGGCGCTGCTAAAGGGCTAGGCAAGGGCATGGTGAACTTAGCTACCAAGAGTGGTGCTGGTATGTTTGGTCTTTTCGGGTATACGAGCGCTGGGATTGCGAAGAGTTTGAGGACAGCTGTGTATACGAAGATTCGGAAGAGCATTACTGAAGCAAGACATGCAGAGGGGAGGTGGCTGGCTGAGAAGAGCGCACATGGGGATGAGACGGAGAAGATCGTGGCGGCTTTTGAGGCATTGAGGAAGAAAAAGAAAGGTTAAGAGGAGATATATTTTATCCCTGATAATCTATCAACATGGATCTCGTATTATTTGCCAGCAGTCCGTTGCACTGATTTTCCAGCTTATTCGGTTAGATCGGTTTGCTTCACCGCCCTTTCACTGCTATTCCCTTCTACTATATAGTCTCGATCGATCCACGCCATAGCTCTTAATATCAATCAACTCAACCATCTCAGCCCTTCCACACGTATACAACGCACTAAGGAGCGTCGAACAGAGAGCGATGGATAACTATGAGACGCGGCCAGTGGGCATTGGCAGGCACGAGCTTAATTTGAGTTTTGAGCGGTTGACTTGTTTGATTGTTTTGCTTGATATATTTTGGTGTTATAGCAGAAATTCTGCATACAAATCAGTCAATAACTGTTCCCCATACCTCCAGCAGATATTCTACGTCTATATAGGTATAGGTTAGATGTCACGGTTTGGGGTGCTCCTGCCTGTTGTACCTCACCTTCATGAGAGTGACTGCCACGTTGTTTACAGCTACTCACCTATATATACTGTTCGTAGCTTCACTCAATACAACCCCAGTACAATCTTCAAATTCTTCCCTTTGCGTACAGTTCTTCACTGAACTCTGACATTAGAAGGGAGTCGCATCCCTCAATGTGATACTTCGTGAAAAGCTGCCTTTTATGTGACTGCAGTTCGCCAACGTGGACATATTTGAGCAACTATCTGAGCATATTCCTGAGCTTCAAACCCTGCTTTGCAAGCCTTGCATTATCGCGGTCCTTCCTGCACAGCTCTTCAAATGTTACGGTATCGGTTGGTCCGTACAGTGTCTGACTATACCCCTGATCGACCACCCTGGACTGGTGTGTTACAGGTCAGGTATATAGTCGTCTCCTTCTAGCTAGATAGCAATACAGCGCAGTATTTCATCGACCCGGTAGTCCTAAATTAACGTTTACCGTAGCTATCAGTGTTCTACAGCGGTCCACACCGCTACACGTATGCTATGCTTTGGAAACAATCCTGTCCTCATTATCAGCTTGCTTTTTGTTTCCAAGTATCTTCTGGACAAGGTGAGACATGAAACCCAGTTGAGTAGAACATACTGAGTGTAAGATAGAGAGGAACGACGTACTCGTCAAGACCAGCTCATAATGACTTCCGTGCGGAAGCGTGGCTGTGGCGACTAGTCACAACTCAACTGGAGATACGTTCCGCTTGATTAGGCGTGTATACCACAATCCTCTTGGGCCCAAACCATCAGCGGATTTTCGCAAGTACCAGGATTTCGAGTCAAAGATCCTAATCAGCGCGCTCCTGAATCAACAGTAAGGCTTTCTCAAAGATGTGGAACGCTTCGCCATGAGCGTCATATTCAGCGCTTGTTATGGTGCACGGTTGGAGCAGCTGGAGCATCCCATTATGACGGAATTCTACGCCGTGTGGGAGATCATGTTACAATGTGAGGAAGGATATAGTATATGGTTATGACGGTGACTGATTCGATGATCAATCAGATTCTCAACCCGGCTCTCTATTATTTGATGTTTTCCCGTTCTTAGGGTACTTGCCGGAGTCGATGCAGCCTTGGAAGAAGCTTGCAGCAAAGTTGAGGGTGCGAGGATTTAAGCTGAACCGTGCCTTCTTGCATACCTTAAAGAAACAAGCTAACGAGGGCTGCGCACCACAATGTTTTGGGACGCATTTGGTCCAGGTATCTAGAACTTGGTCGTAGTGTCATCGAACAGGAAGATGGCTGATACCATGTAAGATACAGGTAGAAGAGGGCATCGACAATGACCGTGCCTGCGACATCCTGGCCATGTTGATTGGTGCAGGTGCAGATACGACCTCATCCAACCTGCGGTCATTCTTCGAAGTAATGGTATTGCTCCCTGCTGTCGTGCATAACGCTCACCAGTGTAAGCCCAATTCGCTGTACGGGATACATGGGACTGCCAAATGCAGAGTTGGGTCGCGTTGTAGGATCTTCCCGCATGCCAACTTGGGAGGACGAGGTTTCGCTTCCTTACGTCCGAGCGGTCATCAAAGAATTCCACCGATGGGCTCCTATCGGGAGTCTTAGTGTACCACACGCGACGACGATGCCTGACCTGTATCAAGGGAACATCATACCCCAGGGAACAGTGGTGTTTCCAAATCTGACGGGATTTGTTGCAGTAGATGCAATAAGTGAAGGTGTAACCACACAGGGCAGTAAGTCAGGGGTAACCGCGCGAAGCAGTAAAATCGGTAAATTCTGTTGTGTTGTTCTGTGATTGTCTCTCACCCGGCAATCATCAGGGTCTGTTTACATGACGTATCTGTCGTTCAGACAGAGGTAGAAAGGGCTTGTTGGAAAGGGCAAGAGCACTGCACCAACACACGTGGCAGACATGACCTCTTCACGCCATAAACCGTCACAGGATTAAGTCGGAGCCCTGAGCGATACGATAATCCCGAGGACTTTGCGCCAGAGAGGTTTTTGGGTGATAATCTTGATGCTTCAGCGTCTGCGCTCGACCCAGACTTTAAGAAGCGCGATCACTTCCACTATGGTTTTGGTCGCCACCTTTGTCAAGGGATCTTCGTCGCTGAAGCTAGCCTGTGACGGTTAATGGAATATAGAGGTCATGTGTGCCACGTGTGTTGGTGCAGTGCTCTTGCCCTTTCCAACAAGCCCTTTCTACCTCTGTCTGAACGACAGATATGTCATGTAAACAGACCCTGATGGCCCGGTGAGAGAGACAGAACACTAAACAAGAACAACAAAAACATATAACGATTCTACCGCTTCGCGCGGTTACCCCTGACTTACTGCCCTGCGCGGTTACACCTTCACTTCAATGCCTCCACGCAGCCGCTTCCCATGAGTATACTTATCTTTTGTTGGTAGAAGCATGCTTATGCAATTGGAGTGCTGCTGCATGCTCCTCTTTTTGTACCTTGTTGAGTTGGGATGGCTTCAAGATCTTTAGTGCAGAACACTTCTGCTTGTGTTCCTTCATAGCCACTTTTTTCCGCTCTTCATTTTCCTTCTCAAGCGCCTGTTTAGCAGCTTGTTTCTCTGCCTTAGTCTCATGTTCATATAGAATGCAAGGACCTTTAGCATTGTAAGCAAATGCGCCATAGAACTGTAGTTGAGAGTACTTGAGAATCCGATCTTTCTTAACTCCTTCATCATAATCTTCTCCATCCCTGGTCCACGTGCGCTGCATGCCACGCTGCTCACCAATGCAAGCAGGAGTCTCATCAGTATAAGCAATAGTGCAAAATTGAAGCCCTGGCCATCACCAATGTGGTGAAGGTCTGGGTTATGGTCAAGTGCCCATTGGTAATGTTCTTGCTCTTCCTTGGCAGTCAAAGGTGGCTTCCATCCCGGCTTCTTTCTGCTGAAGCAAGCCTTATACAAGATGTTTTCAAAGGTACTGATGCTCATCTGAGGCACAATGTCCTTGAAATTTCCATCTGCAATAGCCTGGAAAGGTTCCTTTTCGCAATGGGCACGGTCTTGGGTGATAATCTTGATGATAGCACGCTTCTGGCGTGCAGTGAGAAGCTCTGGCCGACCGCTGCGCGGTAGGTCCTTGTAAAAACTGGGCAATGTGATAGGAAGATTCTCCTCCTTTGCGCGCTTCATGATTGTACTCACAACCTTCTGTATAGTGATTTGGCCGCCAGCGTTGGGGAAGTAAGCTGCCACTGCATCTTGAGTTGCACCGCCAACAATGCACGCGTCAACCGCAAATGCGCGCTCACAAGGTCTCAACTCACAACTTGATGTCTTTTTGATGACAGCAGCACAGCCCTTATATTTTAGAGGCTTGCGATGTGATAGTACAGGTTTTTGAGGCATTTCAAAAAGTTGATGTTGAGATAATGTGTGTTCAATTCACATTATACTATGGCTGAGCATTGATATTAGTGGGGATGCCGAGCTTTGACCACTCATTAAAAACAAGCTCCTTCGTAGTCCAGCTCATTCGGTTAGTTTGGTTTGCTTCCCCAACTCTTCACTGCTATCCCCTTCTACTATATAGTATCGATCGATTCCAGCCAATAGCTCTCCAGATCAATCAACACAATCATCTCAACCCTTCCACACTATACAATAGCAGAACATTGCTCGTTCCTTCATACGGCCTCGTTTGACGCCACTAAGCCGTGCACTTTCGACAGCACAGGTGTTAAAAGATGTCGTCACATACCAACTTAGCCTATCTGTAGCTGCGGCGTCGTGTCCGTAGTCCAGACTGTAGAACAATCGCTCGAATTGGGGAGGTTGATTCTGAGTTTTCTATTAGGTTAGATATGTATTATCACGGTTCCTCCATCGTCCGACGATGTCAAATAGCATTCTTTATATCCAAGAAAGCTGGTCTGGTCTCGCCCATATGCATTAACCACGCCTTAGCCCACAGCAATTATTGCATTCAACAATTTTAATAGTGCAACGGCCATGCCCTCTCTAGACAGACTAAACACGGTGTTGATTAAGCTGAGTTCTACATTGAGTGCAGATATCGATGCTATAATCCCCTGGTTTAGTTCTGAGGTGCTCAGTTGATTGAGCCAGCTTGCCAGATTGGTCGGATTGGTGTGATGGTATCGAACCTGGTGGGGAATCAAGCTGCACTTAACCGAATGAGCTGGACAATCAGTGCAGCGGCCCGCTGGCAAACACTGCAACCGACCGCTGGCAAACAGATGGCAATCGGTGGATACATCCACTCCCTCCGACAATACTCAATCGAGTGGAAGGTAACTGATTAATTTGATTTGTTTGTGTGTTTGTTTGGTTCCTACTCGGTTTCCGCCGCGTTCTGCGCGGCTATGCCCGGAGTGACAGGCGTGGCAGACAGCAGACGCGGTGCGGACATAAATCTGAACCGCCTCACTTCACTCTCGAAAGAGCCATCTGTCCCCAGAGGCCTGCGGTGTCTGGCTTCTATCTACGACTATGTACATTTCGTCTCTAGAAGTGACGTGTTTGCCTGTGTTTGTGTTCTGAAAAGTTGTTTCCGTGTGTGTGGTGTACTCAAAGTCTTGTATGTGTAACGATGTTTCAAGGCTCGTAGAGGCGCGTTGCCTCGTGTGTCACGTCCGCTATACCTACAGTCTCCCCCTAGCGTTTGGCTTCGTCTATTTGTACCTGCCCTCGTGCCCTCAGAGCTTAGTTGAAGTTCCGCCATTCTTGTTGCTTTGTGTTTTGTTGCTTTCCACTAGGTTCCTATGTGGCCATGGTGTGTAGTGTGACCTGCCACCAGGCGCAGCGGCACCAACATTTCGTCGCGACGCAGCTCCACAAGAGCAATGCTCAGCTCGTGCAAGTCATCAAGCCTACTAAGCATAAGAGCTCTTGCGCAAACATCTTCAGACCTTGTCAGGTTATGTTAAAAAGGCACCACGCCTTCGACATAGGGTGGGGGCGACAGTGGGCGAGGCTGTCTGATAATCCAGAAGTATGTTGTGGCACCGATGGTAGCATGCCGGGATATCTATGAAGATATTTGCGTGAGAGATGATGCTGTTCAGCCCGAGAGCTTGTCAATGCGAGACGTCGCAGACATTGTTGGTTGGTGCTGGGCTTCCTGGTCAGCCCATCGGTTACTGTTGTGTGTGTATGGCGACCATGATGTTCAGGGGGTGTCTGGGCTCCGTCGTCACATCTCGCGTTGCTGTGTCGCGGCTAGATGGGCCGCCGCTGCATTAGGTGGACGTGTCATTTTGAGTAGCTTGCTCGCAGAGTCTGTTTGTCCGTGCCTTCCAGGGCCACAACGGCGGCTCTACAGGTACCGAATCGACACGGAATGACGCGCGATGGCCTGTAGAGACCGTTGAGGCCTTTGACGAGTGTATTTTCAGTCCTTTGTGATGGTAATTCCAGAAATTGAGTTCTCGCTGTGTGTGGTGTTTGCCTGAAGCTATACGCTCTTATATAGAATACTATAGGTAGCGAGAAATTACCAGTATAGGCATAAAAGTTGGGCACGCCATCGGCGGTAGTGATGAATATAGGACTCGTTGTTGAATGGATTAGAGAGAAGATGACACGGTTAGGACGAGCAGAGAGAGAAGAAGGAGTGGCGTAGGATTTTCTACCTATTCATCATAATATATCTGACATGATTCGGACGTACATGGAGAGAATCCATAACTGTGGCATCCGTTCATATCCCTCAATGACACCATCCCTCATGTAGACACAACGAGTCCTCACGCTCATAACAGCCCTGGCTGCAGAATCCGCCCGCCTCCAGGGACCCGTCAGGACGTACAATAAACAAGGAATTCCATTCCCTTCCCCCGCACGTGTCCGTGCGGCCGCACACTGCCTTTGCGAGGTCGCTTTGCGTATATCCGTCGACTGTAAATTTGGTTAGCTCGTGGTGGACCGGGCCACCGGGAGTGGGAGTTACCAGTCATCCTCCAGCCACACTTTTCAAAGTCGCCAGGGCATGCAATGGTGATGGTCGTTAGGGCCAAGAGGGTGGTAATGGTAAAGGTCTTCATAGTTTATGAGGTGCGAAGGACTGCAGTTGCTTCAATATGAATAGGCAAATGGGGGTAAGGGTTAGGAAAAAAGTTGTTGACCTGGTCGGCTGATATTGTAGACCAAGACTCCAGGAGTTCAAACATGCCCTTGCCTTGTTATGAGGTGCTTTGGTTGTAGAGTTATTTCTGTCAAAAGGTGCAATCTTGGTGATTGACAGCCTAATTGGGTATAGTTGGCCGCTGAGCACACTAGTCTCAATTAGTATTTTTGGTGAACTCCCAACATTACTGGTTATTCTGTCAGCATTTCTGCCAAATATACCTTTGTAAGATGTGCAATGCCGCATTTATGTGTATCAGATACATGCCACAAATTTTCTTTGTATTAATCCATCACGTGTAGGCAATAGTTCACATTACATTGTTTTTGACCCAATTGGTATTTTCGGTGGAATCCACTAATCCCAATTAGTACTTTTGGTGAAATGATGAGCACACAGGTTAGGAA